CAGAGTATCTGTCTTAGATGCTGATGATAAAACAATTGGTCAGCTCTATCTAGTGCAATGATAATATTCCAGAACTAATGCAGAGAGTGAGTAAATGAAGCATTTACAAAATAAAAAATGAATCCTAGATGGGAAGATAACCCTTCCCACGTCCTACAAGGACTTTAGATCAAAATCAGCCTGTGGTCGGTCCTTTGAGATGAAACGTTTAAATCCCCTTTAGGTCTCAGGTACACAGTGCTGGTGCAGTGGCATGGATAGGTTTGTCACTACAGACATGGCAGTGAGGGAGTGTTCACATGTAAAGAACAGGTGCTGAATAATAAATTCAATTACATGAAATCACATCTGAATGCCTCTAGCATCAGTCAGTGGAACCACTGCTGTAGATCAAGCTGTAGAAGAGAGTTCTGCAAGATAAATCGGCAATTGGCTTGTGGCAAGGCATTCATCCAGTAGGAGAGCTGGTCCCTCCGTGTTTGAAAGCCATCACAGTCCGAGGTTCCCCCCACTTTATCATGTTCCTGCACAGGGCCCAGGGAGCCAGGGGGGGAGGATTGTTTGTTAGAGGTCAAGCAATGAGCAAGGGGCTTATCTCCTACTACCATGATGGGGTTTTCAGCAATGATAACTAGCAACAGCGACCGGTGTGCGTGCATGTTTGCATGCCCCCACGTCAGCTAGAGTAACAGTGTGCATAGGGGATGGCCCTGAATGGATTGCAGACCATAGTTGTGTGTGTGTGTGTGTGTGTGTGGGGGGGGGTGTGAAAATGTCCAAGTTCCTGCAATGCCAGCATTCGTCACTCTCAGCTCCGAAGCCATTTGGTTCCCTCAGACAGAACAAGGCGCACCCAGCAAAACAACAGCCTGGAAAATGAACAAGGGGTTGTAAAGTGAGTAAAGTCAGGGTGCATTTTGGTCCCACCAATCCACCTTTCAGTCATTTAACCCAAACAGCACAACATCAGCACAACATGTAAAATAAAAGCCTAAATTAGAACACAGACTTTATATGTACAGACAAATGAAAGGAATTCAGTCCTAGTGTGAACTCTGACTTGTAAATAAGTGTGAGGCTGTATCCGTAGTCAATTAATTCTGTGCAGAGTTTGGAGTGTACAGCAGTGTTTCCCAATCCAGTCCTCGGGGACCCACAGTCGGTCCATGTTTTTGCTCCCTCCGAGCTCCATGCCAGACAGTCCACATTTTTGCTCCCTCCCAGATCCGGGCCCTGCCAGCTCCGGGTGCTGGGAGGGAGTGAAAATGTGGACTGTATGTGGGTCCCCGAGGACCGGATTGGGAAACACTGGTGTACAGGAACAGCTGTGGAGGGGGCAGCAGGACTGTCCTCCCACGGGACAGATGAGGACCTCTAATCTGTTTCCCTGGCGCTTCTTAAAAGAGCACAAACAAAACATACTGGAGGCTGTCTTACTCTGATCCACTGTCACCCCCCCCCTCCATCCATCCATCCATCCATCCATCCATCATCACTTGTTTTTCCTCTTGCCCACTTCTCCCCTTGTATTCCCCATTTCTCATTGCTGTTAGTATTGGGCTTTTCCAGTTGACCTATTATGTCACAGATATAAAAAAATAATTAAATTAATAATAATGGATGCGTGGACAAATAAAGAGACACAAACTTTAATTGTGATCTGGTCGGAAGAACAGATACAGCAAGATCAGGGTAAAGTATTTTGTATAATATACTATGACAGCACGATATTGGAAATTTTTCAGATATTGCAATGTAATTTTGTTGTAATAAATACTGGGGTATTTATGAAACAAAAAAAAAAAAGAGTTCAAAATAAACCCATCTAGGAGTAATTTAAACAGCAAGGATGAAAATTATTGTCTTGTAGAACGCATGCAGCACTCATGCAAAAGCAGCGGAGGTAAACTTTAAACTGATTTTTAAAAGGAATAACCATCAAAATTGTAAAACTTCCTAGGTTTTTTCCATATGACTGTAAAAATGTTATAGCGAGACTCCTTGCGCTATAATATCCGTACCGAATCGAAGGTAAGAAAAAGCCTGATCTTAATCTAGTTGACTAGCGATGTAAGAATTCGATGTGCATTACATGTGATGTTGGTATTAATATCACACGTCATCCAGTCCTATCACAGCTATTTTTCGAATTCAGTCCAAAATATCCCGCTTCTCCCTGTGACATCATTCGGCACCGGCACCAGTAACGCAGAGCGCCTAGGCCAGTTTGAGTCTAATTGAACATATACATGACTCCCAATTGCATTATCTGGGTGTCTTAGTCCGACTTTGAGAAATTCGATTTAGTTCGATTTCAGTTGGACTAACATGTTTACATGTACTTTAAAAGTCCAGTTTTAGTTGGACTAACACAATAATTTGATTTCTTAGTGTGCATGTAAACATACTGAGTCACACACACACACTCCCTTGCAGGTACTTTCAGTGCCACCACATGGCAATACGACTTTGGACATCTGCACAGTGACGCAGAGATTAACTGGGGGCGGTGGGGGCAGAAGCATTCACAAGAAAGGCTGGACAGAGCCAGAGGGATCAACAGTTCCTGGACTGAGGGATTATGGGTAGGCCAGCAGACAAAGTGTATATTTTGAAGTGTATGTGCTGTGGGGTTCATCTGAAGAACAGCAAGAGGTCAGTGTGGTTTGGCACTGGACACCACAAACTGGTCCTCAGGAAGTCTGATGGGGCTCAGGGGTTTATCTGTTTTCTAGATGCGAGATGTGACCTTTGAAGAAAGAGTCTTAATGTGCATGTGCAGGTGGATGGAGGTACCATCAAGTACAGTTTGTGTCAGGATAAGACCAGCCCAAAACTGAAAAACGGGGGACATGGAGTCGGAGAGTTCAGATCATGAGTCTTCAAGGGTCTTCCTATCAAACCTCAAAAGCACACTTGAGCTCCTCTCAGGGCCCTGGAGCCAGGTGTCGGCAAAACCTTTCTGGTCTTGTGGAGGCCCCTGCCGGTCACAGGGCCGAAAGTGGGCGGCTATGGAACGGCTGACGGCGCATCAAAGATCCCTGAGCAGGGGGCAATTTCCATGAAATGTACTGTGGTCGGATGGGATCTTCAGCGCTGCACCATGGGGTCTACGGGGGCGGATGAGTTAAATGGAGAGAGAAGAGCGGAGAGGTGGGGGTTGTCTCTGCCATCCACAGCAACCTGGCAGAGATGCCCAGTGCAGCTGGCACCTGAGTCCTAGGGCTGCCATCGGACGCCAAAACCTGCTCCCCTTGTGATCACAACACAATGAGGCTGCATATACCCAAGCAAAGGGCATGTGGACGCATGCACAGGGAATATACATGCATACATACATGCATACATACATGCATGCATACACAGACAAACACCCACACATGGGGCCAGTATGTCTGTGCCGGGGAGAACGGGGCAACATGAAAAGAAGGCCGGCGCCAACCCCTCTTCAACCAGCTGTGCCCAGGCTTCACCATATGTACCCCTCAGCCCTCACAGACGGACCCCTGCCACACTGCCAGCTGAAGCAGGACACGCCGTGTGCCTCTGTGTGTGTGTATGCGCACTCTTTTAGTCATAGTGATTCTGTTCTTTGCTTTTTGTAGCAAATCCATTTTAAGTTTTGAAGTATTTGACAGCATCATGGGTGGATACAAAGGGAACCATACTGGCTGTGCGTCATCCTCAGCTTGTTTTACTAATATTCAGCCCTATTTGGACATCTGCTGCTGCCCCATGGTACAGGATCCATGAAGGACCATTATTACTGGATCAGTGACATTAGGCTGTGAACCTCAGTGAAGGGACACCTAGAAACACGGCCGTACCGGGGCTGCAATCAGCCCGCCAGTCTGTTTCCTCACGGGTAGCTTAAGTTTATCAAACCAAAGGGGTTGGCCAGTGCGCGGAACACACTCAAACAGGCACTTGAAAAGACACACATGGCAAACATGTATCAACACTGATACATCAGCCTTGCGACAGTAAAATATAAAGATGAGGGGTTTTGTGGAGGGGGGTGGCGCAAAATGGCCAAAAAAGTAACAGGGTATCAGATGGAATATCTGAGCTAGGGTCTGACAGGAAAGTGGGAAACCAACAACATGGGATTAAGCTCTGCCGGGCTCCCCTGGGACGCCCTGCCACACACTGTCCCCAGCCCCATGCCCATGCCACCTCTTTGTGCCTTGTGAAGAGTGCGGTGACATGCGGTCTGGTCCAGGCATGCCTCTCTCAAACGTCAGACCCTCTTCCCAGTGCTAGCCCGGCTCTAGGCCACTTAGCTTGACTGGCATCGAGCGGAGTCACCGAGAAAAAGTGAAGAGGTGCCTTTGTGCACAGATGTGTCAGTGTAAGGGGAGGAGGGCAAACGTGTGGGGCTTTAGGGAGTGAGAATACGGTGTGCGAGAGCTCTAGGGCACGAGCTGAGAGGTAATCACCACCCGCCAGTTACACGGGAACAATCGTTTCAGGAGTTACATTCTGCACACATTCTTAATTTGGGAGGGGGACATTTTCAAAGAGCATCTAGATGAGATCCTTTTGTACATCTCACACCCCAACCCCCTCCCCAGGCTCTGCCTTTAATCTGGCCGTGCCTGAGTGGGTTCTATATGTGCCAGGAGTGGGCACCATGCCCAGATGACCCTGAGGCAATATGGAAATCACCACGGAAACCCCAGACCACCATCGCCACCCCCACCCATGCTCCGGTTGCCCTAATGCGAAACTCCCATGCCAGCCCGTCCCGAAAACGGCCAGCCTCTGCAGCCATCATCCTTTTTCGGTCCCTGCACACCTCTAAAAGGACACCCAAAGCTCCGCCTCCCTACTGTTCTCCAGTGCTGACCTCCAACAAACACACACAGCAGAATCAGAATTTATGGCAGTTCCAAACAGGACCCACATCGCTGCAAAAGGGTTTGCCGTCAATCCGCCTTCTAAAGCACATCTACCAGAGGCGATGGTGCTGTAACGGGGCGGGGGGCGGGCAACACTACCTGAGGGGTCTGAAGTCCACATAACAGTCTGTGCATCTCCGGCCAGCCCATCCTGTGTCAACTTCATCAATGACCCATGAGCCTCACCTCACAGCAATCAGCTCGATGTCTGCAGAGGTGCAGTGCCACTGCGGCCCGTCAGGCCGAGCTGGTTCTACAGTGGACCAACTCTTCTCCCCCAGAGAGGTTTAAGGGTTTCCCCCCCCACACACAGTTTTGTCCGTCTTATTCTGCCACACACTCGCCAACCCCATTTTCTCAGTCCCATTGGTTTCACTTATTAAGTTTCAAAGGTTTCTGGGCAACGTGGTTCGGGGGTGGGGGGACCATGGCATTTTTTTGGCACACCACCAGTCTCGTCTTGCCGGGAACAAGGGGGTTGCCATGGTATTGGTGGGCACCTCATAAAGCAGACCATTGTTGGGCTGTGTGTGTGTGAGCTTGGGTGTGTGTCACCAGCCACCATGCCAGCATCGTCCGAAATGCCCGGACTCAAAAGGCACCCAGATCTCCTTGCATGCTGCCTTTGCCAGTCTGTAACACAATTACACCCAGCAGCTTTTTCCACTCCTCTGCGTCTCCCTCGCTTCAGTGCCACCCTGAAAACCTCCAATGGTCAATCCAGAATGAAGCCAGCATCTCTGCTGAACTTGTATAGGTTTTGTTTCACCTACGGATTTCTTTTATAAGCTACATTCACTTGCTTGCCCAATGATTTTATCCAATAACAGCACACGGTTTTTATACGTTTATACAGCTGCACATCTGACTGCACCAATTCACAAGGGAACTAAACCTGAGCCCCACCTGGGACTTCAAACAGAAGCCCTGGGGTTTCAAACTCACACAGTGATCCACCTACCAGCTACCTGCTATCCCTGTGAGGTCCGCGAGAGATATGCGCTGCTATTTCATCCAGGCTAAAAACAACATACGTATGCATCTCAGCCCATCCTTTTCAGGATGTTCACAGCTAACAATATTAACCTTAGAAATAATTTTTAAAAATATTACCTGTCAGACTGAGAAACCAGGCCTTAAAAACATTAAGTAACTCAGTCAGCAGCACTCCATTAACAGCTGACCTGCCTCAGGCTTAGACATTCCTGTTTCTAAAAAAGGGTTCCTTCAACCTCCCCTTTTTTAAAGCAGGCTACCCCATTACTGACAGAGGCATATAATTTGGGTTTGTTTGTGATTATTTCAGATCCGCACAGCCCCCAAACACTGTGTCACTATGTGTGAAAGCCTGGAAACAATTTGTGGCACCAGAACTCCAAAGAGAGGGAGAGAGAGGGTAGCTAATTCCATTTACAAACATTTGTTAATGGCTCAAATGCTCCAGTGCCAGTAACCTTTGACAGGTGTCTGCTCCTAGTTCCAATGTGCTACCATGCAAGTGGCCAGTGCTGCAGGCTGGGGTCAGGTACCACTGTGACTGCGACAGCTTTTCAAATTCAAACCACAGGACAAAGCAGCCACAGAGAAATGAGGAGTCTAGCGACCTCTGGTGGTGCCTGCTGTACATTACATGTTTTGACTAAAATACTAAGGAGCTGGGAAATATTATTTTTTTGCTCTCAAAACAATGTTTTGAAAAAATACTAATTTCTTAAAATGGACACTCCTTTCTAATATTAAAATCTATTATTGGAATAAACCAATCACAATAGCAGTTTAACATATTGACTTGGATTTACATAAAGAAAGATCAGCAATGAATTGTGCAATGTATGATTTCTAAGCTAGATATTAAATATGCACAATTAATACAGCCTTGCTTAGTGTGTCAGATAAGCCCGGCTCCTTAAATACCAGCTGCCCCATCTAACCTCCACACTTGAAACCAGCCACCTGGTTTGCTTCTTCACAAGACTTAATTCCCAGGCTTCCTCTAGGCTGATCTGGGCCAGGCATCTTTTGTCTGCATCCATTGCCTTTGAGCATTATGAATGCAGCTTCCATTCGCGTACCTTTTTGTTTTTGCAGGCCCAGATGGACGTTGCAGATTTAATTGCAATTAGACGAGTTAAGGATAATTGTTCTGCACGCGTCAAACTCCGTCTACCTGTCCAGCTGTATCGGACAATCAGTAGCGAGGTGCTGTGGGCTGATTTGGCTGCCTGTCTGCACGCACCGTCCCGCACTTGCCGCGTGTGGATTAAGTCCCCTAGTAGAGACCCTCTTCTATTTTGCGGGACAAACGAGTGTCTGTATGCACACAAGGATGCGGTGTGAGAGGAGCGGGTATTGGGCCACGTTTTGTTGTTTCGTACCCCCCCGTGCTGAGACATCCCCTTATTGTGGAGGGCAAGAAAGACCGGGCTTTCTGGGGGGTTCCAAAGGGGTTAAACCTGAGATTTTGGCACGAGGTGGGGTTTGGCTTCCTTTCATACATGTGGAAATCGGCTCTGAACAGATTTTGAAGCGAGCTGGGCGCCAGCATTGCCATCTGTTTTGAGTTGTGACCCCCCCTCCCCATCCTCCCCCGCTTCTACTTTCCCCAATCGCTTCTCTGCCAGCACTCTCCTGTTCTCTCTCCCCCAATCACCACGCATGTGCCCCTCTCTCCCTTCCTGGCCAGTACTGCCACGCTACCTGGCCATGAGAGGCGAAGGCGAAGGGAAAATGCTGGGGGGGGCGTCTGCCAGTGGACATTAATGAGGGATTTATAGCATCAGGCGCTCATATTAGTAGACGCACAAGCGCTATGTTTCTCACCTTACACGCCCAGCAACACCTCAGCTCACATACATGCACATGTGTATAAAATAAGCCGCAGCTGCGAAAGTCAGAGACAAACAAGTCAGATTTTTGTTTTAATTTATGCAAACCACATGTACGTACCTTCCCATAAATATTACAGAAAGGGGAAACTTTTGCTTTTTTGTTTTCAATTTACTCCTTACTCATGCACTTCAAGTCGTGCATATCACACCTATATTCGAATTTTCAGAAAAAAAATGACACGCAGAGTTAATGTAACATTTTTCTTGAACAGACAGCCTGGGTGTATGTGCAAGCAGGCTTAATTTCTGGTGTTACCACATGGTTTTGTTTCACTGCCGATACCTGCATTCCTCAACCTGTCAACTTTGGCCAGCAACTGCAGGGGTCCTTCACTAATGAGCTCATTAGGACAAAGGTGAGCTTTAAATGAGGAGAAAATAAACAAACTCTGCGACTAATTACAAGAGGATCGATGATGCCGCCATGCCAGCACAAAGCAGCTTTCTCCTTTACCTGTACGGTTTTGTTATTTGTATTTTTTGGGTAAATGGCAAATTCTCTGCCAGGTTTTTTTTCCAGAAACAATTGACTGGATTTAAAAAGTATTACTGGGCAGGTGTGTGAAAGAAGCAGATCAATCTGCGGGATCTTCCAAGGTAGTGTTGCATATATTAATTCTTGTAGAATCTGCGTAGATATATTAATTACATGCAGCAGTTTCTGTTTAGTTATTCATAGTGTGACATATACATTTTTAAAAGATTAGTCAGAAGGGGAAAGTAGTTTTTTTTTTTTTAAAAGGAGGAAAAAAGGTACACAGTCTTGTTATGAGCATATAAGCCCATCTAGGTAGAGAACCTCTGCTGAAAGAGCCATAGGTAAAGGAACACATTACAGAGGAAGAGCTTCTCTTCTGTTATTGTCATCAAAATGGAGCAAAATCATAAAGGAAACGAGAGAAACGGACAACGATCTGTGATAGAAGCCAATAACAACAGACCACTGTATAAAACACACTCCTACTTTTAGGCTTGGCAGGTAATACATCTGGCTCCTTATTTAAGATATAGTCAAATTATTCTGGTCTTAATCCAATTCGTGTAAAACTAGCAAACTACATATCAGCTTGGTGAGGGTCTACGAGGTTAAAGGCCTCATCTTACAATCTAGATGTGATTCACAATCAGCTGGGCCAAGGGCTTCTGCATAAGCATTTCCAGATCCTGATCTCATGAAACATTAAGCTGGGCCATTACAGATGCTGCTCTCCAAAATGACAGCATAAGCGCCCCCTGTGGCACACTCTTGAAACTGCAATCCGACGCCCCTTTACCAGTAGACAGGCAAAAAAAAACACAAGTATGACTGCACAACACATAGCTCATCTTTAACTATTATATATGCTTATTCATACATTTAACTTATTTTAAGAATTCCTCAGAATTTTGATGATAAAAAAAGGAAAAACTGGCATGTAAAATTTGAAAAACAGAGATTACATTTTAAAAAAAATAGTACGAGATGAGGTGCCATCTGTTGTTTTTTTCTAGATGAAAAAATACAAAACGAAGCTAAAGAGACGCCGATCTTAAACATGGACTGGAAACAAGGAGGAGCACTGGAGAAGCTATCAAGAAGGCCAGGCGTAGAGGACAAGAATACAGCAGAGAGGAAAGGAGGAGGGAAGCGGGAAGCACATCAGCAGCGGGCCTGCGTAGAACGCCTGTGTGTCATGAATAAGAACTGCCGTGTGCCTCCTGAGGCCGGCTGAGCCGTCGTTTCTCTAAAGCGGTACCATTATTTCAACACGCACAGCCGCTCTTGGTCTCTCTGGTTCCGCGTGGCGTCCGGCGTCCGGCTAATGGACACGCCAGACTCGTTACTCTAACGCTGGGTGACAAGGGCACCTTGGGTTGCAGATGTTCGCTCCGATGACAGATGGCGCTGGCGTGGTTTGGGGACAGCAACTGTGCCAGCTTTGTGCCACCTGCACCCACACACCCCCCCACCCCCCACCCCATCCCCTTGCCTCAAAGTCTTTCTCCACACATCCAAACACCCCCCCCCTCACCACCCCGAGCTTGGCATTATGTGTGGGGATCGTCTGGCATAGCGGGCGCCCAGGGAATGCCAGGCAGCTGTCTGGACAACGTCTGGGCTTTCTCACAGTCACGATGCGTATGGGGGTCGGCACAGCTCCGAGCCCTAAGTCGCTCAGCTGTCAACGGGAGTCGCCAATATTAAACACCGTTCATTAGATAATACTTTCCAGCCCCCAAATAGCCTCTCAAACATTTTTTCAATCAACAACTTTAGTTTCCCTCTGTGAATCCTCCCATGTAGTACACTGGGCTAAATGTGTTTGTTGTTCACTTGTGTTTATCGCTATTTTTAAACCTACCCCACTTTTTACACCCCAGTACATTCATTAAGAATGACGATCACTCATTTAAAAAAATTTTTTTAAAAAAAGACTGTGAAATGAAAACTCCTGAATGGTGGAATTCACATTCACTGTCGATCGGGTGTCTTTGCAATATGTCTGCACAGAGGCAAATGAATGGAGTGGATTTCAGGTAGCTCACACATTTCGACTGGAGGGAAAAAGCTCCCTGTTTATCCTATAAGCCTTCCCTTACAGACAGGAATGAATTCCCTGAGGTATCAGCCAACCGCCCCCCCCCCCCCCCCCCCCCCGACCCCCCCAGCCTACCTTTCACCTCAAACAGGACTCTGGTGTATTTATTTAATTTGAAACTAATTTCCCCACTGAATGTTAAACTTTTATTATGAACTAAGTTGTTTCTGCCACTTCAGTCTTAAGAATCACTCTAATTGCAATTGTCTAAATACATCCACAACTGACAACCACAGTCTTGTGTATGAATATGGCGAAAATGTATATCACTGTATTTAATTACAGGCCAAATGGATGAGTTTCTAATTAAGCACGAGGATCAGCCCTCTGATCTACCCATGGTTCAGTCTACTCAGTCACTCGGAAAGGCAAACTTCCAGGGATTGGCGCTGACACAATAGTGAAAGCAGGTGTGAATATGCGTGTTGGGACTGGGAGGGGGGGGTGTTCTACTGACATCTTGGAGAAGCAACACGCTCATTGATCTCGTACAGGCAAGCAAGCTGCCCGCTGGAATGCACATGGCTGAAGCAGGGTGTCGTCGTCTGAGCTTGATGCCTGTGAAACAGCAGGTCTGGAGCTTTTATGATCGGTCCACTGTGGAAGCACATCCACCTGCCTCACCTGCCACAGAGTACTCTGTATACATTTACCTGCTGTAAGCTGGCAGTCATCACTCAAATGGCACTATGGATAAGCCAAAAATGTAGAGGCACCCATGCCAGACTCCATATTTTCCTTTGACAAAAATGGGTTGCATAAAAACAAGAAAATTTGTAGGGGCTCACCGTCATGGATTTCTTTGGTGAACAATGGGGAAACATCCCAAAACAAATTCAGCTGAGAGAAAATAGGAGAGATGATTTCACACCCCTGGAAATTACAATGGTTCAGAAGACTTTTTCCAGAAGAAATATCTTTTGAGCATTAGAGTCTTTTTTTGACCCAGTATGAAATATCTGACAAGTGTGAAATATTTGACAATGGTCTGACGGATATTTGTGTTGTTCTCCCAACCTCTGTTTTATTTAAACTGTGTTTGCGCTCCTCTTACGTGCTAAGAGTATCTTCCTGCTTGATGTCTCTTATCATTTAACTGCTAACAAGCCACCTTACCAGTGAATGATGTTGATTTGATCCCTAAAGCTCTTAACTTGGCACCAAACTGCTTCTAAGCCAAATTAAGCCTCTGTCATGCCCCCCCCCATCCCCCCCCCCCACCTTTCCCCTCCCCCGCCATGGGAACCCTACATCTTTAATGGCGCCAAGTAGCTGCACTGGCTCCGCCATACAAAACTGGTGACATCTGTCTCACTAAGTGGCACACTAATGTATGCCTCATTTGTTCAATCACTCCCTACTGAAAAAGGAGAGAAAAATGAAAGAAGAGACTAGGGGTTGTCTGCTAAAAAGAAGAAACAAAGAGTCCCTTTTATAAGTTATTTCCCAGTAGTTAATTCCCCGAAAGGCGCTACAAATTCTCCTATCAATTGCATGAGATTCCCGTCCGTTGATGTTTACCACTCTGGTATTTTTAAAAGGACAAAAAAACTGCTCATTGTGCAAAGGAGCACTAACGTGCACATATCAGGACAGATTCAGTGGACGCAGTTATTAGCATAAAGAACAAAAAGTGCACGCCACAGAGGAACCGCATACGACGTTTGGTTCTTAAGTACCACATTAGGCTATTCCATGTGTTTACCTCAACTGAGCGGGAGAACATGAAAATCCGCAGTGCAGAGCATTATCTCTATTTGAATGCCATTAAACACATGTGAGAAATCTGCTTCTGAAATGCAATTTATGACGATATAACACGTATGGAAAATGACGATATATTATGCATTGAAGCGGTCGTAGGAACAGTATGTGAATTTGGCAACATCTTTAAACGAAGAGTTCAATCAAAAAACGTGTGCTTATTACTTTTCGATGCAAGGAGAAAAAAATATCAGCGATGGAAAATACATGAATGCCAAAAACGTTAAATCTTTGGTGGAAAGTATGAGCACAGCGTAGTATACATTTAATTGTATACCATTCAGTATTATTAAAGCTGATTAGAATAAAAAAAAAAACAGCAAAGTGAATAAGGTGAATAAAAAATGCGATGTCACTTCAGTTCAAAACTACACGGAAGACAGATTTTCCAAACTTTACAAAAATACTGACTGGCTATATTTTTTTAATGCAGCAAACAAAAACTCCTTTCCAGCGTTGAGCAATTAATGGTGAATTAAGGACCAACAAAAAGTTCTAACACATACAACGCTTCGTTATTCCTACCTTCCCATTTCAAGGACTTGAAGCAATCAGGCAGATTGTCGGACGACTAAGCCAGTCAGGAGGGTCCTTTGATTGGCGACGCCCACTGGGACACATGCAACAATGGCGGCTTCCAGTCTTGGGAGAAGGACAGCTATGTTATTTGGTATTGTAAAAACCTTTTCTCTTCAGAGACCAGTTTTACCGATCATTTCCAGATGTGGCAGTTTGTTCCAGATTGCTACCTACAACCCCAAACCTTTAAGACTGAACATCAAGGATCCCTACATTCCTAATAAAGAAAAAGAAGATACACCTCACTGGCAAAAGACAGACAAGTTTGACCGTAAGCTATTCGGGCGATATGGTTCTATTTCTGGTGTCGATCCAGTGAAATTGTGGCCAAGCCCCGAAAAGCTGGAAAAGTTAATAGCGGAGGAGCAAGAATGGCAACCGACTCTGGAAGTTATGCTACAGAACATTGCGGCAAAGGAAATGGAGAGAGAAAAGAAAGTGAAGGCCAGGTAACGTGGGGTGCGCTTTCTAACATGTTCGAAGCAGCTAATTTGCAAAGGGTGACCCTGGGCGAGTACAGGCTTCGCAATGTCGTGAGACGCGATAATCGTACATCGTTGTATAAATGAAAACATTCAGCGATAGACATAATATCTAGAGTATGGTTATAGACTTCGCCGAAAAACTGACGCGGAGGCCAATTTGCTTTCTAGCTGCATGGGTTTTATGAAACTGTCAGATTTATGACAACCGCTGTAAATGAATTTTGGAGATTCGGCAAAACCTTAGTACATGCAGCGACGCATACATAGATGTATGCTGCGGTACGCTTTACGGGGGCCCTCTTGAAGTAGCTTTCACTTGCTCCATAGGTAGCATTGTTATTTAAATATTTAACAGTTCTGTAAAATTAAATTAAAATATACTTGATTTTGGAAATTATCGTGGGTACAGTTTATTCGAATTCCGCTCACCGTGAGAACAACAAAGTACATATTTTCCTTTATATTTCACTAGAGCCCAGTAAAATGTACCTAAGCTCATATATACATACACACACCGCACTTACACGTAATAAATGCTAGATTAAACCAACAACTTGGTGTTAACAATTTGTAGTGCTGTTAAGAAAACGACTTATAGACGGGAAAAGTTCACCTGTCAGACACTGTTGTGTACACCTACCTGATAGGTAAATGCTGTATGGGGTCAGATAAAAGGCTGAAACGGATTTTGAAACTTCCTGTCAACACCACGGAAGCTTTTAAGAACAACTCCAGAAATTTTTTTTAAGAAATGGTACGTCAGAGTGAGAGCTCTTCCACGGTTTTTAAATTAGATGGAAACAACGCCTGTTCCTTATTTATGGTTTATCGGGGTATGGGGGATGCCACGTCGATTTCGTCGTGAAATGTGCTTTTTTTTGTCCGTTTCCTTCAGAGAGAAATTAATTGCCACCAACATGGCGAAGATGCCGAAGATGATCGAAGACTGGCGTCGCGAGACACGCGCGCTTAAGATGAAGAAGAGGGAGGAAAAGGCGCGAAAGGAGCGGCTGGTGGCAGAGGCCCGCGAGCGCTTCGGCTACGCGCTGGACCCCCGCAGCCCCAAGTTCCAGGAGATGGTGCAGGAGATCGAGAAGGAGGAGAAGAAGAAGAAAAAGCTGCTGAAAAGCAGAATGAAACAGGGTGACACTGCACCAGCTGCGCCCAGGACTTAATGATTTACATCTCAGTGAAGAACGACCTTGTAAATAATGATCATAATTAAAACGAGTTTTTCATCCCATCGAAGTTTACTGAATTTTCCCATCAGAAAACCACAGTTCATCCCACTTTCAGGTGGTCCAAGTAATGGGGTGGTTTTCCAGTTAGATATATGGACTTAATATGCCTGTAATTGTACACCAATATATTTAATGAAATATTTATATTTAACAGCAATTTTGTCTAACTTGTCATTACATCCCCCCCAAAAAAGTATTATTTCTTAGAACAGCTCAGTACATATAGAACTGGTATTTAACCAGTTACAGACATCAACCAAGAGATAGTGATTCTATGATTTTCAGAACTATTAGAAACTTAATGCTTATACTTCTCTGTACTGTCATTTTTTATTGAGCTCTGGCATTTGAAATGTCTGATGGCATATTAGGGATCATTAATGCTGACACTTGTTCTGGAGAATCTGGCCATATGGCTGCATTTGCAGACACCCACTGGTCCTGACAGTGCAGGCTTTTAACTAAAGCATTTTTACAGGTATTAATTACAGTTCATACCTATTACCCTAATTGTGTCCGTAAAAGACAATAATAGTATATAAAAGTTCAAATATATGTTAGCACTGATTGTGAGCCATTGCCATTAGACAGTTGAAGTACCATCGAAACCACACGTCCAAAAGAACGTGAAACAAGGCACAACAGTGTCCTTACAGGGAAGTTGTCTCCTTATGTGGATATATATTTTTTGAAAGTCAGGTGCCTAGGACTGCAGCACATTATCCAATCTGGATGAGGTATGCACACATGGAGAGTCCCATCCACGTTAGCAGGAGTGCAAACCACTGGCCTGGCATGAGGGAGTCGGCCTGCCAGAGTTGGGCTTGGAACACGAACAATGCTGCCTTGAAGGTCATCCTCTATAGATCTGTGCTTTCTTCTTCCTCTTCACTGATGTCTGCCTTCAGTTTGGTCAGAGCAGCATGGATCCTGAACTGGGTCCGCGATTCCATGGAATATTCCTTGTAGTTGTTCCTAAAATGGTTGGGAGAGTCAAACATACCAAATCAACCTGCTGCTGATGATAAAGACGAGAAGAAAATGGTATAAATTCCTCCTGAAGAGCACTTTGCTGGAGTGCCATAGCACTTTGTAGACAGAGCTACTAGAGGAGAACTGACAGAAGAGTCTTACTTGGCTTTCTGCAGTAACTTGACGGCCTGATCTTTGCGTCCCAAATCTATGTAGAGTAGACCAAGCTCCAATAGAGCATTTGGGACAAGGTACTCATCAAACTTGATCTTCTTTTCACTGTAGAAGAAAAATAGATTAGCTTACAATACTAGTCTTGGCTTAATCAAAATTAATAACCTGTTTTGTTTTCCAGACAAACACTTAAAGCAGGGGTCTCCAACTCCGGTCCTGGAGAGCTACTATCCAGTAGGTTTTCTGTCCTTCCCGGCTTCTGATGAGCCACCCTTGTTCCTGGTATTTACCTGAGCACAGGTGTGGCTCATCAGAAGCCGGATATGATAGAAAACCTACTGGATAGTACCTCTCCAGGACCGGAGTTGGAGACTCCTGACAAAGTAATTTGAAAACCTACAGTTAGGACAAATACCAAATGAAAAACAAGATATAATCAGATTGGCAAATTATAACTGGCTCACCTGTTAATCACTTTTTGGAAGCAGTCCTCAGCCGCTTTAGTTTGGCAATCATTCTTAAGGCACATTCCCTTCAGTAGTTGTATTACACAGGAGTCATCCACAGAATACTCAGTCACTAGGAGGAGAAGGGCAGTAAGGACAGACAGGAAAGTAGACGGCAGTCAACAGTTTCCATATCCACAGTCATGTGAACATGTATGGAAAAAACTACACCAGTAAAGGTTAAACCACAATGACAGTTGTCACTTGGGGTGATTTTTAAAGTCACCAATGTTCGGTATGTGTTTATTATTGAACTTAAATAAACTTAATTAAAAAGAAGAAACTGTATTTTTCATTGGTTCAATAAATTTACATTTACAACAGTGGGTTAGATGTTGAGTGCAGTACCGGGGCGGTCCTGCAGGGCACGCTCTGCATCCACCAAGGTCTCCATCATCCCTCTTGTCAGGTCTGGCCGACTACGAATCATCGTAAAGCCATTCCACATGTACATCATTTCCTGAAATGGAAAAAATGCAAAACCCAGGTATTTTCAGGCTCCATCCATTTTTAACAGGTACTGTCACCTGCTGTTGCGCTATGGTTTGAAATCGTACCAACACAGGCACTGGAAGCCGCGTTGGGCTGCTGGATTTATAGCGCCGGGCTTTTCGGATAGCAAACTTCTCAGTTGGGGGGGACTTCCCTGCTATTTTTTGCTTAAATGTTGGCACCTGTCTGAGGGAGAGAGAAGAAAAAACAGAGAAAAAAAAACATTCTCAATGAAATCACTTAGAAAGTTGCTTCTGGGCTGCGTGTCCAAACCGTGTCATTGTTAATAGGTACTAACTACTACCATCACATCAGAGGTAGATGGTTCAGGTCCAGGAAGTAGAAATCCAGACCAAGATTTCGTTTCAACCAACCAGTTGAGTACTCCGTGATTCTTTATGCTGAGCTGGCTGGTTGAAACAAAATCTTGGTCTGGATTTTTACTTTCTGGACCTGAATTTTCCACCTCTGCGTAAAGTTTGATAAATACTGGTGCAGAGTACTTAAGACACCAGTACTGACCAATAACACAATGACAGGCTATACATTAGATGTACAGGGCAGTTATATAAAATAATCGAAAGTACTTTAAAATTGAGTCCATTTTTCTATCTGCTTTTAAACAGGTTTCACGGAGATTATAAGACTGATATGCGGAGAACCAAAGACATCCTACATGCTAACAGAGTAGCCATTCAGTTCAGTAGCGGTTCGTATCAGCATGCTAGCCGGAGGCCAACGTCCTTTTACCTGAAGAGCTCCACTTCGTTCTCCCCGAAAGGCCTGACCTCGTCGTCGGGCAGCATGCTGAGGCAGGCTGCCTTCATATACACATACATGGCCTGCAAGAGGAGCACAGGGCAGACAATGAGTCCTTACAAACCAGAACATCAGTGCTGAGAACGTCAAAGGAGGAAGACAGCCATGGACACGAGCTAAAGAGGGATCATTTTAAAGACATTTCACTAAAACAGTGGCATCCTGTACTTTCAGGCAGTTACTCACAGAAGCAAGATAAGCCTCCGCTGAACATCTATAAAGCTCTGAGGCTAAATACTGTAATGCAAAGATACCATTCATATGAGCATGCACTGGATAGCAGGACGTGGAGAAGAATTAACTGCATCTTTCTTTACACAGAGAAGAATATTAAGGCTCATAGAGGACTGACAGAGTGCAGTAGGATGTGGAGAAGGGTGGTGAAGACAAGAACCAGTGCAGGGTTTTCAGAAGCTCAATAGGGCGCCTGGAGACCCACACCTTGGACCAGCGGCTCTCCTGGCTGAGGAGGTCTGCGTAGAAGTAGGCCATCTTCCAGACACGCTTGTAAGTGAAGCACCACAGCAGCTCCCAGTAACACATGTGGTGGAACTGCTTCCAGGCCTGCTGGGCCCTGCAGCCGTCTTCAAACAGTGCCACCGCCTGGCGACATATTATTGGCATCGGTCCCGTATCTATTGGACTTAGCAATGTCTATGCAAACAGGCAAGGATACAGTAATTGACCTCTACTTTCATCTACACTGGAAACTCCTTTCGCGCTGCAGACGTTCCAACAGAACAGACTGATATACAGTCCAGACCGACCTCATCTATGTTCCCACGGATCTCCTCAGTTCGTCCAGCAAAGAAGAGGAATATGGCACCCTGTCAGTACAAAAGAAAACCGGGATTGAAATCTTCGTCACAAACCGTGAAGAGCTAAGCCAGGGTACTGTGGTGGTCTCCAAAATATTGTCTTGCCATCTTGGCCTAGATGTGTGATGTTTCACATATTCCAAGCCACTGCACTCACCCGTGGATAGCGAACGCGGAACGGCTTCAGTAGCTTCTCAGCGTTGTCCACATCGCCTTCCCCAGTCCCTACAGGGAACAGACGGATTAGAAACCATGATGGCTGAATATGAGAGATTAAAGAAACCAGCAATACACCACCACTTCACCAGCATCAGTCAACATCAGTGCCATTTTCAGCAACAGATACTGCGCCGTGCCATATTCATCAGGTCTAATTGGTCTGGGCCATCTGTTTACAGCCCGATCATGAGCAGCTTATAGTTTCACATCCAATTTGGGCATGTGGAGTACAGTTTGAAAACACGCCTTGGCTTGTACTGCTACTGGGGTCTCAGCGGGCCTTAGCGAACAGCAAGGTGTCTTTGTACCGTAGCATATGCAGGAGGGACTGTTACCCAGGATGAAGGAGAGGAAGGTATAGTAGCACAGCAGCAGCAGGGCACACAGCATGGAGCGCAGGTTGAGTGATGTGGCGCCGCTGTGTAGCTGGGAGAGACCGTATTCCTGCACAGAGATCCGTGTGTGGACAGGAAGTCGGGAACGGACAGACAGACAGACGGAGATACTGGTTCTGCGTGATGACACAAATTCTCCATTCACAGACTTTTGCCAAGAGACAACACATGGTTGATGAGCTGAATGGAGAGACACCTAATGCAAGGTGAGGACCGGTGTAATTCAAACTCCTATAGATATACAGATGAACACATGGGCACCTATGAATAAACAAAATTTATGGCAATCATGCAGTAATTGTGAAGCTTTGGAAAGTGATTTTGCATCCTAGTTGAGAGGACTGTGAACAAACACAGGTTACGGGGCAGGAAGCAGACAAAAAGGCACCAGCGTCTGCGTGTGGACAACTGAAGCACATCCATATCAGCGTATCAGCACAGCAGAGGCTGCAGCCAGTGCCGGACGAAAGGATTTCTACAATACCATACCTTATCCCCCGAAAGGCCAGCGAATTCTAAGAGCCGTAAGATCCGAGCGGGAAACAGGGAGAGGGTCTGCGGAAGGAGACATTGGGAACATTGAACGTGTGAACAGTTCGGCAAGCATGAATATGCAGGACAAACATAACTGTCAGTGTACTGAGAACCAAACAAAAAATTGCAGGAGGTTTATTATCTACTTGGTTGGACCCCATCGTTTCCCAACTGCTGCACCGTAGTATGACCTTCGTAGAACGTACCAAGTTAAATGCGCCGATTCCAAACGACACCCCTCCTTCTAACTGGAAGTGGTTCAGTCCTTTGTGATACTGATGTGACTGAAGGAAGGTGTGCAGGTCTCTGAGTTAAAATCAAAACATCGAAAATCAAACATATTAGTACAGATACAGCACATATATTACTCATGTACTGTATTAATGACACTGAAACCAGATAAATACGGAAATCCACGGTGCATCCATCAAGTATTTGGCTTAAGATACAATAGTCTTCTGTTCAGGATTAATTAGCGATTGTGCCATAGTGGGAGGCCTTCATACATCAGTGTCCCGGAAACACTTACTTGTAGATGAGGTAACTGCTGCGTACCTTGACTCCTCCTTTGATAAAGCTCACCATGTTCTCATCCTGAAGGTGGAAAACAAACATCTGAGTGTAGATAAGCCCCAGAAACGTATGCAGGGGTGACACTTCAACCCAGTGTTGCAGAGAACCATATCATTTATCGCTTTTCCATCTCTAGCATGCAACACACCGCAACTTTTTTCTGATAATAGTGAACCATCCGTGGACCCCATATATAACGTAACTTTTGCGTACTTACATATGGGATTTGATAAATTACGCACAGTAAGACATTATTAACATTAAATTCAGTAATAATGAAGTACATTGTACATTATTACACAGCACTGTACAGTACTGTGCTATGTAGAATGATAGGGATTTTGACATTTAAGCCTCATTCTCTCAAGAGACGATAAAGCAATGAAAAAATATCATGTGTCAAGGGATGACTGAGTATGAAAACAATGATTTTTATACCGCTCAAAGGACAAAGGAACAATGGAAAAACATACCGTTACGCATTTTACTATTTTTTTTTCAGCCCATGGTAAACCGCAGATAACCAAAACCACAGTTACTGAAACCACGGATACGGAGGAACTAGAGCACGGTAAACTGCATACTGCGGTAAACTAGAGAACGGTAAATTGCGTACTGCGGTAAACTAGAGTACGGTAAACTGCGTACTGCGGTAAACTAGAGTACGGTAAACTGCGAACTTCACCTCCCTCTCTGAAGCAGGGGAGAGGAAGCCGCCTTACCTGTAAAAAGGTGAGAGCGGCTCTCTGCAGCAGACATTCTGCGTAGCACAGCTCAGCATGCAGCTGTTCTGGAAAGACACACACATACAGTGCATCTGAGAGCTGTCACAGCCAATCGCAGTCAATCTCTGTAATTTCCCCGGGGGCTATTTATCCTTGGGATGATTAGGTCAAAGCAGGGGTAGAGCGGACTGCTGACTTAGGCAACAGGTTGTACCCAGCATGTCAACCCCGAGCCTGGGAGCCATTCCCAGCCATTCCTGTCTTTTACACTAGCTCATCTCAGCCCTGGTCGTAGGAGACCCATGTTTCTTCATTTCCACTGAATCGCTTGTGATATTCCTACCTTCGGTTAAACCTTCTCCAGACTTGCTGACTATGCTGGACGACTTTTTGCGGAACCTGAAAGGTAACGGTTTCCATTAAATGAGATCTGTAAATCACTATATACCTGGACAAAACAATGAGCCATGGAACGCTGACAAGTCTTTATTCAAGTAAAACAACAGATATAACTCTTAGACAGAAGATATTCTGTTATTTCTAGTGCTTCTCCAGAGTGAATCGTTTATAAACATGGAAGGGGGGGAGGTATTATTACGAAAAGGCATCACAGTGGCCCGATCTGGGCGTAAATGATCTATTTGCCTAGAAAGCTCCAGGCCAGTCAAAGGCACGAAAGGAAAGAGGTCAGTCCGGCTTGGTCATGCCCACTTTGGAATTCAAACTCAATGTGTGTGGTCAGCTGGAGGAAACTGGGCTGCTCTCAGGAAACGCACACAGAGCTGAGGTCAGAGCAACGCAGCTGTGCGGTGCTTCAGGAAAAAAAGCTTTTTAGCCAGAATGTACAGTTCATCCATTATTAAAACTGGGCATTTTGCTGAAGTGATTCAAAAACTTTGGTGAAGTAGAAAAGATCAGTTATGCTTCCAAAGGGTTTTAGCTCCTGAACCGTAGGATGAGGGGCTGAGCTAATCTGAGCCCCCTCCCCGCAGATGAAGGCCCCACCTCTGGCACACCTCCTGGGCACTTTTCATGGTGTTCCCAGCCCTGACGATGTCATCGTGCTGGAAGGTCATCATGGCCTGCATCTCCAGCATGGTGGCGTACATCACAGCGTGGTACATGCTGTCCTGCATACTGCGCGTGCACACACACACACACACACACACACACACACACACACACAGTTCATGTATTACTGTCATTATACAAACTCTCTTCATTTCTATGGGCATAACCCTAATCCCAACACTGACAGCCTTAACTCCTACGCAGCCCTAACCTTAACCTTGGCATTTTTAGTGTTTTGATTGCATTCATAGGTTTTTATAAAATTGAGTTTCCCCTTGTGGGGACTGAAAAAATGGTCCCCACAAGGTCAAAATAACAGTTTTTCCATAACATTTGGTTCCTACAATTCCATATATACAAACCCACACATATACAAAATATACAAACATGACTTTTTACGATAATTATTTTTCAACAAATCAGAATAAAAGATATTTATGGCATAACGTGCATACCCATACTGTAAGTCTTTGTATTTAGACTTACAGTATTTAGACGCTGGAAAACTCTTTGACAAAAAACATTCAGGAAATGCACACCAAAGTAAACAGAGGGATAAAGGAGGCAGAGAATATTTCCTTGCCCTGCAGACTATTTCCTTTTTCTCACGAGTACCCTGGCGAAAGCCATCTTGAGCCAGCAAACAAGGTCTGATGTGGTCATATACCATTGTACTGTATCTGTGACTCATAATATTGGTAGGAGTAAGGGGGGGAAATGCCTATTTCATGTGATATATGACAGAAACCAAACAGGCGTCTCTCTCACACCTAGTCCCTGCTGACAGCGTTTACGCTGCCTCTCGCTCTCACTGGCTCACACTCTTGTGTAATATTTGTTTGCTGGGCCATGGGCGTCACCTTCAGCAAACACTCCGTATCCTGGAGGAGGGAGAGAGAAGCGGGGCTGCTGCTCTCCGCTTACGTGCTGGCCGAGCTAACGGTGTATCACGCGGGGACTTGCGAACGAGGTGTGAACAGCGCAATTTAAGACAGCGGTACGTTTCCGAAGGCCTCTGCTTCTGCCCCAGGCTGGCGTCTGGGGCGGCTTAGGACTCCTTTCCATGTTAACAATTAGCACGCCGCTCAAGTCATTCCTCATTAATGCTGTCCTTCAAAATGACTGAGCCCTCGATGAAGTTTTACTTACAGGGAAACACTGTAACATAGATTGTAGTGCAAAATTGTGATGGGGGGGGTGGGGGATAAGCATGCTGGCGATCACCGTATCCCCAGAGGACTGTCACACAGCACAGGTACCCCACCCCGCGCCGGTCAGGCGGAGGTGAAGCAAAAGAGAGGAGGAGTGGCAGATACGCGTCACACATAAGGAGGCGGCGGCGCTCACTGGGGCCGCAGCTTATCCAGGCTCTCGGTGAAGCGGTTGTTAAGGAAGAGGTCCACGGCCTCCATGCACTCGGCCAGGCAGTCCTGCAGCGTCATTGGCGGGGAGCTGAAGACGGACAGGCCGGTTAGCAAACCACACGGCCGCACCGGGCACCAACATTAACTGACCGCTGCTCTGTGATAAGCGGAGTCTTCACGGGTACGGACACTAACATGCTTGAACGTTGCTGTGCATCTACTCCGTGCCACATTCAGGAGCATACCTAGGAATTCTGGCGCGCCCCTCAACAAAATTTACATGTGATCTTACATATTCAAGGCACCCTGTCAAGTGCTCGGCCCCCTGAATCTGTCGGGTATCCATTGTAATTTAAAACAGATATAATTTGAACTTTATGTGATACTGGTGGGGATAGAGTTGATAACTGGTTATGGAAAGATGCTGGTTTTGAACATTTTAAAGACTGAAGGGACTCCTTTGTATACAGCAATGCCTTCACACAGCGGAAGGATTCGCACTGAAACTTCACATGAATGTCAGGCCGATACACCATCACAGCAGATTCTGATCATCTGGACCATGTATCTTGACGTAAAACTACCAGACAACTTTGAAGAAAAAATCTAAGTGAAAAATGCTCCTGGAGATTACAGTGTAATACAGATACAACGGAGTAAGGCCTACGTGTAAATAGCTGTTGTCGTTATCATCGCTATTATTTGGGCTTTTAAGTTTTCGCCTAAGCGGAGAGGTTTTCAGAAGCTGCGCAGATGAGCTTTACGCGATGTGCCTGATAACATGGGACACATCAAACAGACACATATGGAAGGCAATAAAGTCAATAAACTGTCAGTTCTGTCCGTATACGCCAGCTACGCACTTTCGCTACGATTTCAAAATTCTCTTGATTCTGTAACATAGAATATTGGAAATCACGATGGTCCCAGAAACAGAGCCCTTTACATGATCATAGTATTAATCATTTTATACAAGTCGAAAAGTATAACAAAAAGTTCCTGTTTTAAAGAGGCGGTACATCATGAAACATATAAGACACAACACACAAAGCTGAAAATACCGAAAAGGAGTGAAAAGAAAAACAGTCAAACAAATTCGCACGGTTTATGTTTGTGAAGTGGGTTTGGAAAGGGAGTTACTGAAACTGTGAAACTGGATCGATCAAAGACAGATTCCCATCACTTAAGTAACTATCTAGTTTTTAATGTAACTAGCAAAAACTAACACTATGGTCAGTTAACTATTAAAAAACTCCGAGTCCATAAAGATTGTAACGCATTCGTTAATTAGCTACTTAACTTACTTTTCTGCCGCAGGTGTATCCGTGTCTTTCCTGGACATATCTTTGGTTTGACCAAAACACCTGTCGACAAGGGAAATATGATGTAAAATTTAAAAATCTACAATCCGTTCTCGCCTTTAAAACTTTTTTTAAAAGTTGTTCACTTGTAGGACAATCTTGTGAGAGCTTATTAAATCTTAATACCTTTAACAAATGTACTATTCGTATTCAGCCAAAGTTTAGGACGGGTGCGGTGCTGGCAGGGGCGGGGCCATTCCCTGACTCCGCCTCCGCGACGCCGCCCGCGTGCCCACGCTCACTGTACACTCCTCCTGTTTCGACCCAGCAGAATCCGTGCACCAGCTCCGTTAGCTTGTTGCATCGTGTCTCGGTTCAAGTTTGTTTAGGCGGTGGCCTTGGGATATTCCTGTCAGAGCTGTTTTTAGACTTAAGGAATTTTCGGTAAAATCAGGGATATTGCTGTTTAATTCTACGTAACGTAGTCTATACAGCGGGGCGGCAATGTTGTCTCACACCTATGGGACCGGGGTTCAAGTCTCCGTGTCTGATGTTTGCATGTTCTCCTTGTGTCGTCGTGGGGTTTCCTCCGGTTACTCCGCTTCCCCACCCCACAATCCAAAAATGCTTATTGCCCATAGGTGTGCCTGTGTGAGTGAATGGTGTGTGTTTGCCCTGCGTTGGGTTTGTGCCCCATCCTGGGTTTTCCCTACCATGCGTCCATAACCTCTGGGATAGGCTACGGACCCCCTTCCCCCCGACCCTGGATAGAAAATGGATACAGAAGATGGATGGATGGTCTAGCTTGAATTTTTTTGACCTGCGTAGAAGCGTGATGTCACAAACTACTTGTATTGTTCATTTGACATTTTGTCTCGAAATTCAGCGTAAACCTGCAGAGCTGTCGTGAGGCACTTTCGGATTACAAGCCCGACATCTAGTGACTCCAGAGGAAAATTTCAAACCGGGTTTTTGCGCTTTAGTGCGGTATCCATGGGTCTATTCAATGGACGATAAAATATAGGACAACGAGTAATATGTGGATTATTCAATGCAGTCCAGTTGCATTAAAAACGTTAATCTCGAGAAATATCCAATAAATCATTAACATATGCCCGAAACGGGGCGTATTTAGGCCTATTTGAGAATTAAATGCTGCTTGCGATTCTGGAGTTAACCATAAAATTCGACTTTCTGCGACATCAACATCTTATCAATTAGGCCTACTCCCATAATTCACACCAAATGTAAAAAAAANGTTCAATAAATTTACATTTACAACAGTGGGTTAGATGTTGAGTGCAGTACCGGGGCGGTCCTGCAGGGCACGCTCTGCATCCACCAAGGTCTCCATCATCCCTCTTGTCAGGTCTGGCCGACTACGAATCATCGTAAAGCCATTCCACATGTACATCATTTCCTGAAATGGAAAAAATGCAAAACCCAGGTATTTTCAGGCTCCATCCATTTTTAACAGGTACTGTCACCTGCTGTTGGCGCTATGGTTTGAAATCGTACCAACACAGGCACTGGAAGCCGCGTTGGGCTGCTGGATTTATAGCGCCGGGCTTTTCGGATAGCAAACTTCTCAGTTGGGGGGGACTTCCCTGCTATTTTTTGCTTAAATGTTGGCACCTGTCTGAGGGAGAGAGAAGAAAAAACAGAGAAAAAAAAACATTCTCAATGAAATCACTTAGAAAGTTGCTTCTGGGCTGCGTGTCCAAACCGTGTCATTGTTAATAGGTACTAACTACTACCATCACATCAGAGGTAGATGGTTCAGGTCCAGGAAGTAGAAATCCAGACCAAGATTTCGTTTCAACCAACCAGTTGAGTACTCCGTGATTCTTTATGCTGAGCTGGCTGGTTGAAACAAAATCTTGGTCTGGATTTTTACTTTCTGGACCTGAATTTTCCACCTCTGCGTAAAGTTTGATAAATACTGGTGCAGAGTACTTAAGACACCAGTACTGACCAATAACACAATGACAGGCTATACATTAGATGTACAGGGCAGTTATATAAAATAATCGAAAGTACTTTAAAATTGAGTCCATTTTTCTATCTGCTTTTAAACAGGTTTCACGGAGATTATAAGACTGATATGCGGAGAACCAAAGACATCCTACATGCTAACAGAGTAGCCATTCAGTTCAGTAGCGGTTCGTATCAGCATGCTAGCCGGAGGCCAACGTCCTTTTACCTGAAGAGCTCCACTTCGTTCTCCCCGAAAGGCCTGACCTCGTCGTCGGGCAGCATGCTGAGGCAGGCTGCCTTCATATACACATACATGGCCTGCAAGAGGAGCACAGGGCAGACAATGAGTCCTTACAAACCAGAACATCAGTGCTGAGAACGTCAAAGGAGGAAGACAGCCATGGACACGAGCTAAAGAGGGATCATTTTAAAGACATTTCACTAAAACAGTGGCATCCTGTACTTTCAGGCAGTTACTCACAGAAGCAAGATAAGCCTCCGCTGAACATCTATAAAGCTCTGAGGCTAAATACTGTAATGCAAAGATACCATTCATATGAGCATGCACTGGATAGCAGGACGTGGAGAAGAATTAACTGCATCTTTCTTCAACACAGAGAAGAATATTAAGGCTCATAGAGGACTGACAGAGTGCAGTAGGATGTGGAGAACGGTGGTGAAGACAAGAACCAGTGCAGGGTTTTCAGAAGCTCAATAGGGCGCCTGGAGACCCACACCTTGGACCAGCGGCTCTCCTGGCTGAGGAGGTCTGCGTAGAAGTAGGCCATCTTCCAGACACGCTTGTAAGTGAAGCACCACAGCAGCTCCCAGTAACACATGTGGTGGAACTGCTTCCAGGCCTGCTGGGCCCTGCAGCCGTCTTCAAACAGTGCCACCGCCTGGCGACATATTATTGGCATCGGTCCCGTATCTATTGGACTTAGCAATGTCTATGCAAACAGGCAAGGATACAGTAATTGACCTCTACTTTCATCTACACTGGAAACTCCTTTCGCGCTGCAGACGTTCCAACAGAACAGACTGATATACAGTCCAGACCGACCTCATCTATGTTCCCACGGATCTCCTCAGTTCGTCCAGCAAAGAAGAGGAATATGGCACCCTGTCAGTACAAAAGAAAACCGGGATTGAAATCTTCGTCACAAACCGTGAAGAGCTAAGCCAGGGTACTGTGGTGGTCTCCAAAATATTGTCTTGCCATCTTGGCCTAGATGTGTGATGTTTCACATATTCCAAGCCACTGCACTCACCCGTGGATAGCGAACGCGGAATGGCTTCAGTAGCTTCTCAGCGTTGTCCACATCGCCTTCCCCAGTCCCTACAGGGAACAGACGGATTAGAAACCATGATGGCTGAATATGAGAGATTAAAGAAACCAGCAATACACCACCACTTCACCAGCATCAGTCAACATCAGTGCCATTTTCAGCAACAGATACTGCGCCGTGCCATATTCATCAGGTCTAATTGGTCTGGGCCATCTGTTTACAGCCCGATCATGAGCAGCTTATAGTTTCACATCCAATTTGGGCATGTGGAGTACAGTTTGAAAACACGCCTTGGCTTGTACTGCTACTGGGGTCTCAGCGGGCCTTAGCGAACAGCAAGGTGTCTTTGTACCGTAGCATATGCAGGAGGGACTGTTACCCAGGATGAAGGAGAGGAAGGTATAGTAGCACAGCAGCAGCAGGGCACACAGCATGGAGCGCAGGTTGAGTGATGTGGCGCCGCTGTGTAGCTGGGAGAGACCGTATTCCTGCACAGAGATCCGTGTGTGGACAGGAAGTCGGGAACGGACAGACAGACAGACGGAGATACTGGTTCTGCGTGATGACACAAATTCTCCATTCACAGACTTTTGCCAAGAGACAACACATGGTTGATGAGCTGAATGGAGAGACACCTAATGCAAGGTGAGGACCGGTGTAATTCAAACTCCTATAGATATACAGATGAACACATGGGCACCTATGAATAAACAAAATTTATGGCAATCATGCAGTAATTGTGAAGCTTTGGAAAGTGATTTTGCATCCTAGTTGAGAGGACTGTGAACAAACACAGGTTACGGGGCAGGAAGCAGACAAAAAGGCACCAGCGTCTGCGTGTGGACAACTGAAGCACATCCATATCAGCGTATCAGCACAGCAGAGGCTGCAGCCAGTGCCGGACGAAAGGATTTCTACAATACCATACCTTATCCCCCGAAAGGCCAGCGAATTCTAAGAGCCGTAAGATCCGAGCGGGAAACAGGGAGAGGGTCTGCGGAAGGAGACATTGGGAACATTGAACGTGTGAACAGTTCGGCAAGCATGAATATGCAGGACAAACATAACTGTCAGTGTACTGAGAACCAAACAAAAAATTGCAGGAGGTTTATTATCTACTTGGTTGGACCCCATCGTTTCCCAACTGCTGCACCGTAGTATGACCTTCGTAGAACGTACCAAGTTAAATGCGCCGATTCCAAACGACACCCCTCCTTCTAACTGGAAGTGGTTCAGTCCTTTGTGATACTGATGTGACTGAAGGAAGGTGTGCAGGTCTCTGAGTTAAAATCAAAACATCGAAAATCAAACATATTAGTACAGATACAGCACATATATTACTCATGTACTGTATTAATGACACTGAAACCAGATAAATACGGAAATCCACGGTGCATCCATCAAGTATTTGGCTTAAGATACAATAGTCTTCTGTTCAGGATTAATTAGCGATTGTGCCATAGTGGGAGGCCTTCATACATCAGTGTCCCGGAAACACTTACTTGTAGATGAGGTAACTGCTGCGTACCTTGACTCCTCCTTTGATAAAGCTCACCATGTTCTCATCCTGAAGGTGGAAAACAAACATCTGAGTGTAGATAAGCCCCAGAAACGTATGCAGGGGTGACACTTCAACCCAGTGTTGCAGAGAACCATATCATTTATCGCTTTTCCATCTCTAGCATGCAACACACCGCAACTTTTTTCTGATAATAGTGAACCATCCGTGGACCCCATATATAACGTAACTTTTGCGTACTTACATATGGGATTTGATAAATTACGCACAGTAAGACATTATTAACATTAAATTCAGTAATAATGAAGTACATTGTACATTATTACACAGCACTGTACAGTACTGTGCTATGTAGAATGATAGGGATTTTGACATTTAAGCCTCATTCTCTCAAGAGACGATAAAGCAATGAAAAAATATCATGTGTCAAGGGATGACTGAGTATGAAAACAATGATTTTTATACCGCTCAAAGGACAAAGGAACAATGGAAAAACATACCGTTACGCATTTTACTATTTTTTTTTCAGCCCATGGTAAACCGCAGATAACCAAAACCACAGTTACTGAAACCACGGATACGGAGGAACTAGAGCACGGTAAACTGCATACTGCGGTAAACTAGAGAACGGTAAATTGCGTACTGCGGTAAACTAGAGTACGGTAAACTGCGTACTGCGGTAAACTAGAGTACGGTAAACTGCGAACTTCACCTCCCTCTCTGAAGCAGGGGAGAGGAAGCCGCCTTACCTGTAAAAAGGTGAGAGCGGCTCTCTGCAGCAGACATTCTGCGTAGCACAGCTCAGCATGCAGCTGTTCTGGAAAGACACACACATACAGTGCATCTGAGAGCTGTCACAGCCAATCGCAGTCAATCTCTGTAATTTCCCCGGGGGCTATTTATCCTTGGGATGATTAGGTCAAAGCAGGGGTAGAGCGGACTGCTGACTTAGGCAACAGGTTGTACCCAGCATGTCAACCCCGAGCCTGGGAGCCATTCCCAGCCATTCCTGTCTTTTACACTAGCTCATCTCAGCCCTGGTCGTAGGAGACCCATGTTTCTTCATTTCCACTGAATCGCTTGTGATATTCCTACCTTCGGTTAAACCTTCTCCAGACTTGCTGACTATGCTGGACGACTTTTTGCGGAACCTGAAAGGTAACGGTTTCCATTAAATGAGATCTGTAAATCACTATATACCTGGACAAAACAATGAGCCATGGAACGCTGACAAGTCTTTATTCAAGTAAAACAACAGATATAACTCTTAGACAGAAGATATTCTGTTATTTCTAGTGCTTCTCCAGAGTGAATCGTTTATAAACATGGAAGGGGGGGAGGTATTATTACGAAAAGGCATCACAGTGGCCCGATCTGGGCGTAAATGATCTATTTGCCTAGAAAGCTCCAGGCCAGTCAAAGGCACGAAAGGAAAGAGGTCAGTCCGGCTTGGTCATGCCCACTTTGGAATTCAAACTCAATGTGTGTGGTCAGCTGGAGGAAACTGGGCTGCTCTCAGGAAACGCACACAGAGCTGAGGTCAGAGCAACGCAGCTGTGCGGTGCTTCAGGAAAAAAAGCTTTTTAGCCAGAATGTACAGTTCATCCATTATTAAAACTGGGCATTTTGCTGAAGTGATTCAAAAACTTTGGTGAAGTAGAAAAGATCAGTTATGCTTCCAAAGGGTTTTAGCTCCTGAACCGTAGGATGAGGGGCTGAGCTAATCTGAGCCCCCTCCCCGCAGATGAAGGCCCCACCTCTGGCACACCTCCTGGGCACTTTTCATGGTGTTCCCAGCCCTGACGATGTCATCGTGCTGGAAGGTCATCATGGCCTGCATCTCCAGCATGGTGGCGTACATCACAGCGTGGTACATGCTGTCCTGCATACTGCGCGTGCACACACACACACACACACACACACACACACACACACACAGTTCATGTATTACTGTCATTATACAAACTCTCTTCATTTCTATGGGCATAACCCTAATCCCAACACTGACAGCCTTAACTCCTACGCAGCCCTAACCTTAACCTTGGCATTTTTAGTGTTTTGATTGCATTCATAGGTTTTTATAAAATTGAGTTTCCCCTTGTGGGGACTGAAAAAATGGTCCCCACAAGGTCAAAATAACAGTTTTTCCATAACATTTGGTTCCTACAATTCCATATATACAAACCCACACATATACAAAATATACAAACATGACTTTTTACGATAATTATTTTTCAACAAATCAGAATAAAAGATATTTATGGCATAATGTGCATACCCATACTGTAAGTCTTTGTATTTAGACTTACAGTATTTAGACGCTGGAAAACTCTTTGACAAAAAACATTCAGGAAATGCACACCAAAGTAAACAGAGGGATAAAGGAGGCAGAGAATATTTCCTTGCCCTGCAGACTATTTCCTTTTTCTCACGAGTACCCTGGCGAAAGCCATCTTGAGCCAGCAAACAAGGTCTGATGTGGTCATATACCATTGTACTGTATCTGTGACTCATAATATTGGTAGGAGTAAGGGGGGGAAATGCCTATTTCATGTGATATATGACAGAAACCAAACAGGCGTCTCTCTCACACCTAGTCCCTGCTGACAGCGTTTACGCTGCCTCTCGCTCTCACTGGCTCACACTCTTGTGTAATATTTGTTTGCTGGGCCATGGGCGTCACCTTCAGCAAACACTCCGTATCCTGGAGGAGGGAGAGAGAAGCGGGGCTGCTGCTCTCCGCTTACGTGCTGGCCGAGCTAACGGTGTATCACGCGGGGACTTGCGAACGAGGTGTGAACAGCGCAATTTAAGACAGCGGTACGTTTCCGAAGGCCTCTGCTTCTGCCCCAGGCTGGCGTCTGGGGCGGCTTAGGACTCCTTTCCATGTTAACAATTAGCACGCCGCTCAAGTCATTCCTCATTAATGCTGTCCTTCAAAATGACTGAGCCCTCGATGAAGTTTTACTTACAGGGAAACACTGTAACATAGATTGTAGTGGAAAATTGTGATGGGGGGGTGGGGATAAGCATGCTGGCGATCACAGTATCCCTAGAGGATTGTCACACAGAACAGGTACCCCACCCCGCGCCGGTCAGGCGGAGGTGAAGCAAAAGAGAGGAGGAGTGGCAGATACGCGTCACACATAAGGAGGCGGCGGCGCTCACTGGGGCCGCAGCTTATCCAGGCTCTCGGTGAAGCGGTTGTTAAGGAAGAGGTCCACGGCCTCCATGCACTCGGCCAGGCAGTCCTGCAGCGTCATTGGCGGGGAGCTGAAGACGGACAGGCCGGTTAGCAAACCACACGGCCGCACCGGGCACCAACATTAACTGACCGCTGCTCTGTGATAAGCGGAATCTTCACGGGTACGGACACTAACATGCTTGAACGTTGCTGTGCATCTACTCCGTGCCACATTCAGGAGCATACCTAGGAATTCTGGCGCGCCCCTCAACAAAATTTACATGTGATCTTACATATTCAAGGCACCCTGTCAAGTGCTCGGCCCCCTGAATCTGTCGGGTATCCATTGTAATTTAAAACAGATATAATTTGAACTTTATGTGATACTGGTGGGGATAGAGTTGATAACTGGTTATGGAAAGATGCAGGTTTTGAACATTTTAAAGACTGAAGGGACTCCTTTGTATACAGCAATGCCTTCACACAGCGGAAGGATTCGCACTGAAACTTCACATGAATGTCAGGCCGATACACCATCACAGCAGATTCTGATCATCTGGACCATGTATCTTGACGTAAAACTACCAGACAACTTTGAAGAAAAAATCTAAGTGAAAAATGCTCCTGGAGATTACAGTGTAATACAGATACAACGGAGTAAGGCCTACGTGTAAATAGCTGTTGTCGTTATCATCGCTATTATTTGGGCTTTTAAGTTTTCGCCTAAGCGGAGAGGTTTTCAGAAGCTGCGCAGATGAGCTTTACGCGATGTGCCTGATAACATGGGACACATCAAACAGACACATATGGAAGGCAATAAAGTCAATAAACTGTCAGTTCTGTCCGTATACGCCAGCTACGCACTTTCGCTACGATTTCAAAATTCTCTTGATTCTGTAACATAGAATATTGGAAATCACGATGGTCCCAGAAACAGAGCCCTTTACATGATCATAGTATTAATCATTTTATACAAGTCGAAAAGTATAACAAAAAGTTCCTGTTTTAAAGAGGCGGTACATCATGAAACATATAAGACACAACACACAAAGCTGAAAATACCGAAAAGGAGTGAAAAGAAAAACAGTCAAACAAATTCGCACGGTTTATGTTTGTGAAGTGGGTTTGGAAAGGGAGTTACTGAAACTGTGAAACTGGATCGATCAAAGACAGATTCCCATCACTTAAGTAACTATCTAGTTTTTAATGTAACTAGCAAAAACTAACACTATGGTCAGTTAACTATTAAAAAACTCCGAGTCCATAAAGATTGTAACGCATTCGTTAATTAGCTACTTAACTTACTTTTCTGCCGCAGGTGTATCCGTGTCTTTCCTGGACATATCTTTGGTTTGACCAAAACACCTGTCGACAAGGGAAATATGATGTAAAATTTAAAAATCTACAATCCGTTCTCGCCTTTAAAACTTTTTTTAAAAGTTGTTCACTTGTAGGACAATCTTGTGAGAGCTTATTAAATCTTAATACCTTTAACAAATGTACTATTCGTATTCAGCCAAAGTTTAGGACGGGTGCGGTGCTGGCAGGGGCGGGGCCATTCCCTGACTCCGCCTCCGCGACGCCGCCCGCGTGCCCACGCTCACTGTACACTCCTCCTGTTTCGACCCAGCAGAATCCGTGCACCAGCTCCGTTAGCTTGTTGCATCGTGTCTCGGTTCAAGTTTGTTTAGGCGGTGGCCTTGGGATATTCCTGTCAGAGCTGTTTTTAGACTTAAGGAATTTTCGGTAAAATCAGGGATATTGCTGTTTAATTCTACGTAACGTAGTCTATACAGCGGGGCGGCTATGTTGTCTCACACCTATGGGACCGGGGTTCAAGTCTCCGTGTCTGATGTTTGCATGTTCTCCTTGTGTCGTCGTGGGGTTTCCTCCGGTTACTCCGCTTCCCCACCCCACAATCCAAAAATGCTTATTGCCCATAGGTGTGCCTGTGTGAGTGAATGGTGTGTGTTTGCCCTGCGTTGGGTTTGTGCCCCATCCTGGGTTTTCCCTACCATGCGTCCATAACCTCTGGGATAGGCTACGGACCCCCTTCCCCCCGACCCTGGATAGAAAATGGATACAGAAGATGGATGGATGGTCTAGCTTGAATTTTTTTGACCTGCGTAGAAGCGTGATGTCACAAACTACTTGTATTGTTCATTTGACATTTTGTCTCGAAATTCAGCGTAAACCTGCAGAGCTGTCGTGAGGCACTTTCGGATTACAAGCCCGACATCTAGTGACTCCAGAGGAAAATTTCAAACCGGGTTTTTGCGCTTTAGTGCGGTATCCATGGGTCTATTCAATGGACGATAAAATATAGGACAACGAGTAATATGTGGATTATTCAATGCAGTCCAGTTGCATTAAAAACGTTAATCTCGAGAAATATCCAATAAATCATTAACATATGCCCGAAACGGGGCGTATTTAGGCCTATTTGAGAATTAAATGCTGCTTGCGATTCTGGAGTTAACCATAAAATTCGACTTTCTGCGACATCAACATCTTATATCAATTAGGCCTACTCCCATAATTCACACCAAATGTAAAAAAAACCCCCAAAACATGCAGTTAGCCAAGTAAAGAAATTTGGTCCTTTGAATTAACTGCTTTAAAACAAGCGGACTTATTATGTAGATCACAGAATAACCTGAGGTGATTATATTCAACTATATATAATTTGTCAGTTCTACCAGAACGATTCGGGGGAAATCGAAAATGTAAATTCCAGAGATGGACAACAGCGCTATCCCAAACGATGGAGTGGACAACGTAGAGGAGCAGAGCAACAGGCAAGAGCATCATGAGCAAGTCGAAAAAGTCATTACAATATTTTGGTTATTATCTGAAGAAGGGGGAAAAAAGATAAAACCAGCAGTAAACAGGGACCATCCCACGTCTGTGCAGCTTGCAATTAAATAAATGACCACCAGGGGTCCGTAATAGCCCTTTTGCCTGGGCAATAAGGCAACGTCCCTCATATAACGGATAATTACCGGCCAGGGACAGCGCCATCAGTGTTTAACACAGTCGTTAAATGTACCTTAAAACCGTCAATTCAGTTCACCACTGTAAACGGTGTAGGCGAATATGTAAACACAGGTAGCTCATTTGCATTTGGCACATCTTTAAAAATGGAAAATCTCTAAGGTGAAGGTTGGAATGAAGACATGAACGGCAGAAAAGTGTAGCTCCAACTGACTTAGAAATAAGAATAGAACAGAATAAAATGTCTTTATTGTCATTGTACGTGCACAATGAAACTATGTACTGTCTACCAAATTAAAAAAAAAAGGGAAACATTTGATATATCTGATGTCCGATCCAGGCAGCAGGTCTTCTGATACATATGAGGGGTGACTGCTGAACTGGGAATTCTCAAAAACCCCAGCATTTGTACCGGGACAGAGGAGGGCAAAGGGGGGGGAGGTCACAGTTTGTTTGGGGTTTTTTTGCACCAGTTTGCCATTACCGACAACTGAAAGTGCTTTAATTTATATTCCAGTCATTCATCATACAGGTAGATTACTCTTCTGATATATTTACAATGTTTGGTAAACATCAGAGATGCATGAGTCAAATGTTTGCACAGAGCAGCTTTTCACCTTAATCCTAACAGTCTTCCACGCCACTAACACTGAGTATGATGCAGTAGGGCCTATATGGGCTAGTGAGAAGGACACCTTGCTTGTTATACAAATCAGGAGGCCAGACTGTAAACCAAGGGCACTATTAAAATATATAAAAGACTTTATAATCACTTAATAATAACCTTGCATAATAATAAATTTTTATTAACCATTTTGTTGCCTGCTTCATGAAACAGGATTTACTGCTTAGCCAAATAACTTGTTAGTTTTATGGTAGTCTGGGCTAAATGTATGTGAATGAAGATAATGTTCATTTAGCCCAGACCACCTTAAATATACAATGAAACACCTACAGAGAAGCATGTGATTGGTCACTTCACAGAAGACCGCTACATCTGATTGGTCACTCCACAGAAGACCGCTACGTCTGACGCTGGGCATTGCGCTGGGTGATGTGAGGCTCGCATGCAGTTGCTCGGCCGTGGAAGCCCGTTCCATGAAACTTCCGGAGCAGAGTTTTGTGCTGAGCTTAATGCCAGAGGAAGTTTGGAACTCTGCAGTTATTCAGCTAACAGAACATTGCTGACTTTTACACACTACGCACCTCCCGACCCACTCTGGGTAGTTTCTGTTGTCCCTCAACACTTACACTTTGCAATAATACCACGTACACTTGACCATGGAATGTCTAACACAGAAGAAATTTCACAAGCTACCTCGCTCAGACTCTTCAGAACCACCCATTCTTTCACAAATGTGTGTAAACCCAACTGCAGGCCTATAGGTGCTTGATTTTATACACCTGCGGCAATGGGTCTGAATGAAACACCTGAATTCAGTGATTAAGAGGTATGTCCCATTTGTCCATATGGTGTAGCTGTGAAACATGGTGAAACGGAGTGTTATGCGTTATGTATTACACTAAACGTGTAAATGTAATACTCACAGAAATGCTGCACAGACCTACATGTAAAATATCACCAGATAATGGAGCTCTCGAAGCTGGATAGTTTTCCCACTTTTACTTTAATACCTTATAAATTCACTTGTCGCGTGTCTATTGACAGTCCCGTAGCATCCAGCAGGATTATATATTCATAGAATAATTTGAGGAGAACCTGTTGCACTGTAAAGTAAGAATCGGCTTTTAGCATCTAGTCTTCTTTTAATTTCACGTTGATGAACGATTTGCTATAGTATATATATATATATATAGCTTCTTCATTTCAAGGAAGACCTGCATCTAGACTCTTCTCTGTTTTGGCACCTAAGTCAAGATGTCCGAACAGCTGAGTCATTGGGTGCCTTCAAACAGCCACTAAAAAAACTACATCTTTCAGAAGTATTTGGATCAGCATTTCCAGGATTATACTCTTATTATAAAAAATGTATTACTTGCCAACAGAGCTTATTAGGGTGATAGCCGGGTTCTATTGAACCAGTATCAGAATGTATTCACTGAGATTTCTAAGCACTTATGGAAGTCGTTCTGGCTAAGGGAGTCTGACAAATGCTGTAATAATGTAAATATAAATGTCATTTTATATATACATACATAAAAGTAGATCAATGCAGTCAAAAACAAGTCGCTTTTATGATGATGTTTATATAACACACACACACCGTTCTGGTTAAATAATTTATTAACAAACATCAAAACAAAAATCATAAAATTAAGATTTTTATTTTTATAAAATAAGGCTTCAAAATATTGTCTCTCTCTATTCAGGCAGACCTCACTGTATTAAAAAGACTAAATAGCAGTTATATTTAAAACTGTATTCCATTACAATGCCACAGAAGTATTTTTTGCGCTTCTTGGGGACCAGGTCGCCCCCCCCCCCAAGGATTGTCTTAAATAACGTCAATTGAAAACTGGCTTTACTGCCTTTATTTTCAACCAGAAGGTTATATTTATGAGAACCATTACGTTTGGTAACTGAATGACAGTTGAAGAAATTGCTTCACATAATATATTGGTGAGGAGCAGAAAATTGTTTAAACATCATTTAAACTAAAACATTGTATTGGCTGTGCGGCTTGACGCAGTAATTTGTGTGTGTGTTATATACAGGGCTTGGCATTATGCTTACCTACTCACCAGGGGCCTGTAATTTAGGCAAAAGACCGAACGCTAGCCTGCGGGCCAGTACAAAGAAAACTGTATGTTGGACTCCATTTTGTACTGAATTAACCCAGTTGCTACAGCTGGAAGAAAGTGTACCAATTTGTACCATTGCTTGTCACTGGGGCTGTACGCTCATGGGTCTGTGAATTGTACCCTAGCTGTAGGTACTTGTATCTTTTAAGGTACAGAAAGGGACTATGAGGAACATTCCTGTACCATTGGGGGTACATTAAGGGCGCTTTTCCACCGCACAAAGTACGGTACTTTCGCTTTTCCATTGACTTCCGGTCGAGTACCAGTACCGAAATCTTGAGTACCAAAAGTGCCAAACCAGTTGGGGTACTTCTTTGGTACTTCGGTACTTTGGGGTGGGACTTGCAAACGTATTTGCTGTCGATTGGTTATGCAAATAGCCTGCCGCTGAAACACCAAAATACAACCGCCATCTTTTGAAATACACAGCGAGAAACAAAATAAAAAGCAGTAGAAACAAAAATATAAAAAAGTAAAATGGAAGGATGGACAAACGAGGAAACACAGGCTTTAATCCGCCATATGGTCGGATGAACAGATCCAGTGGGATTTGGATGGCACGACTCGAAATAAAATAGTTTTTGCCGTTCCGAGCAGTTCAGTTTCCCTATGTTTCCCCTGTCGCGCGCTGATTTGTACACGGTTTCGCTGTTGTTTTCATGTCTTTTTACGAGGTAAACAAGCCATATATTAATTTTAAAACATCACATGCCTTTTGTACGTTTTTTGTTTTTACAGATAATAAATGACATTACTTAATTCGCTGGATAGAGGTATTTCTTGATGAAAACGGTATAGTATTGCTTATAAGACTATATTATGCGTGACAATCTACTGTATTCATATGTAATAATGTACCTGAGTGATTTTCAGACATTTCACATAGGCTACCTCTTTGCTTTAATATTAGGGGAAACATTATTTCCTGATAGACAAGAGAAATATAGGGAAACTTAATTGCCCGGAACACCGTAATACCAAGCCGCTTGGAAGAAATGGGGCACACGCGAAAAACCGAACAATGCCGCTTGAAAATCAAAAAACATAATTAAATAATTTGTTTGCTTTCAAAAGACTGAATTAGCAGTAAGCTGATTCTTACTGCTTTGATCAGCTTAGCCAAAGTAAGTGTATCTACGTAAACGTAATTGATGGCAGCATGATTTGGATTTTGCTGAATCTTATACTGTGATAGAAGCTGACATAACAATAAACCGCATTTTCCAGCCTCAACTATTAGTTTTAATTTTGGGCTGTCAGTCAGGGGCGGTCACTGATGATGTCATTTGGCGCCGGTGGAAAACCGACATGAAAGAAGTACCAAACTTTCGGCACTTTATGGAAGTACCGAAAGTACGGTACCTGGTGCGGTGGAAAAACGCCCTAATATTGCTTGTACCTTTGGTTTGTTCCTCAGCGTCCATTTCTTTACCTTTTTCTGTACTCTTTTCCCCCCCAGACATTGTAGTAATAAGAAATCTTAAGTGCCACCCCGAGTATGTGTGTATAGACCATCAACATTACATATGAATTGTAAATATGTGACACTTAGGCTGCAGTTAAATCCTTCCATTGATAGATACAAAATTTCCTATAAAGATATAGGATTTAAAGATATCTCCTGAAATTACCAGTTTAAGTAAAGCTTATTAATGAGAGAAAAAATGTAATTAGCAAATTTTAAATCATTTAAAAAAAAAAAAAAGACAGAACGCACACATTTTCAGCCTGAGAGGTTGTACCATCTCTTTCTGATGTGACTTTCCAGCATTGGTCAAAGGTTTGTACCATCGTTCAGATGACGCCGTCCGCAGGGACCCTCATCACTCTGAGCCGATCTTGCAGTACAAGGTCATCGAAACTATCATGGCAGACATCTATAGAAGGGGGAAAAAAATGGGAATGTACAGTTTGATTGCCATCGTCATATACATATAGCAAGATGAGAAGAGAGGGTGGCAGAAGGAGATGGATAGAGAATCAGTACGATAACACAATAAGTATGAGAGAAGGAAGGGTACAAGAAATAAAGATAAAACTATCATTTTAAAAAAGGAATAATTCAGACTATTTGCAATTAGGAGAAGTTGGAGAAAGGGCACATTTTATTCACGTGCAAGACACAGTGAAGGAATTGTAGAAGTGTTAAATGAAATGCCAACCAGCTATTTTAGTTTGAGTCTTTTAAATGTGATGGCACCTTTCAGCTACACAACCCTCAAAGACAGGAGCAGAGAATGCGAGCAGGCCTTTCTCACCTCCAGCGCCGCAATTCCCAGCGCGACGGCTATAAGGACGGTCGAGTTACTCTGTATCGCCGACACGATCTTACGGAGGCAGCCTGGGATGCTCTGCGAGGGAGAGAAATTCCAAACACAGATGAGGACAGGATGCAAGGTAACTGTCTGACGTTTTCCAGATGAGTTGAACATGAAGCCGAAAACTTGCACACACAAACGGCGGAAATGAGAGCTCACGTCAAACGGGTGGGGGGGGGGGGGGGGGGTCACAATATGAACGGGGCGATGAGCGAAGCATGAAGGGAAAGGAGAGAGGCGAGAGCTATGGGGCGAGACCCCACAACTTTGTTACCGAGCTTGTGGCATTTTGCAGTGTGCAGGGCAGGGTGAGGCAGCAGGGGTCGGGGTAGAGGCTGCTGCTCTGATGGTACGGTGAGTCTGTGAAGTCTGTGTAGTTACTGAAGCCGCAGCATTTCAGCTAGAAGGTGCAGAAGCACAGGGCAGAACATCACATACCTGTATGCTCAAAATGGGAAATCGCATAAAGACGAAGGCAAATCTGAGCTCATGTCATCTATCCATGTTAAGTTATCCACAAAATGATTCTAAATATTCTAAATGCAGTATCGGTATGTAGAGAAAACTGAAAAGAAACTAACAAACTGACTTAATTGGAAAAAAAGGTCATCTGACTAGATATTATGTACTATATGGCCAAAGGAATGTGGAGAATCTTCTGAGAAGGCTTGGTGTTGGATGTGGGAACATCTCTGGTGGGACCTGCTGCCGTTGAGGTTGGGTATCGACGTTGGGTGATCAGGTACCTCTTTCCCTCCTGAAGGATCCACTTCACAATCACATCAATTGTCAGCTCTAGCAGGGCATACAGACTTGTTGGGAAGATGGTGTCCCTACAGCGGTGCCATACCCCAGTCATGGTGGTGTTCCATAACAGCGTCAGGTCCACATCCTTCCCATAATCCTTCTTTATGCTGCTGACGACCGAGTTTCCCAGCATGTGAATCAGACTCTCCGCCTGAAAGACACACAGCAGGCGTGCTGCATCAGCGATGGCTCTCTGCGATCCTGGAGTGCCGGAATATTCCCTATCTGCGCTCCAACATCCATGCAGGGCAGCCTGGTGGGAAAGGCACCTGCCTTTCATATGGAGGTTAATGTGAGCAGCAGATGCATCACCCCAAGTGCACACTCACCAGGGGCCTGAAGACCAGGATTACTACTGCGGCAGCGACCTCGGCTATGAAGACAATAAGCACGATGACAAAGAACTGCGGAGAAGAGGAGAATGTCACACACATCATGGCTTTCAGGACTTCCTACTTCTTATGTGCACTTCAAAACAGAAATAATACAATTATGGTAAATAAATCATCAATGCCCGCTGATTCACTATTGAAATTGATCTCCAAACCATTTGTGATTGTAGACTAAGGTTACTTTCAATATTACGGCGGTTCCAATAACAAATGGCATGTCAAGCAAATGTTACAATACCACTCCATGGTGATTGGTGCCGCATGGAATTCTGGGTAACTCACCAGTAACAGCATGCACTTGCTCTCACGCACGGCACCGCAGCACCCCAGGAAGCCCATGACCAGCAGCACCCCTCCCACGGCGATCAGCAGGTAGCCCACGTTGACCAGCTGGTTCAGCCCCGCCGGAGCATCTTGAATTTTGCCCAGGATACCAAGTAGCGAGTTACTGTCCACCTTGACCCACACCCCTACACCAAGGATCCCAGCTCCCGCCAACTGCAAGGACATGAACTGCGTATGTTGGAGCACACTTGGAATTACGCACACAATTTACCTTCGGTGTGTAATACTGCCCCCTACTGCACATAATCATTTCAGCATCTCCTGCGTTGCTTGCAGTGGGATCTTTCTTAAGTCATTCCTTCGATTCACCCACTGACCCAGTTTGGCTCACTGCCCCAGTGGCATTTTAACACTGAACCAATACATGCCACCATTACAAAGTTGCAGTGACTGCTTCCTGGTTTAGAGTGCATCGAGTTACATCACCGCTCTCCTACACTACATTAATGTTGGTCTGTCCTTAGTCTTCATGTTATTTTAATGATAGTTTGTCCCAACTTACGAAGATGATGCCATTGAAGATGAACATCATGACTTTGAGAAATTGGAAACACCCCATGGCTGCAGTCCTTCCTTTAGACCTTTCTGACAAGAAGAAAAGAACCAAGGATAAGAGCGATGGCTTACAGTAACTTTCCATGTCATACTGCTAGAATTAAACATTCCATGTACATCCGTTCATTCTGGAGCATAAAAAATGTAGACAGTCCTGCAAAAAACTAACACTAAACTTACACTAAACTTGGTTGTTCCTCTCATCATCCATCCATCCATCCATCCATTCATCCATCCATCCATCCTTTCGCGTATCCTGGTTCTTGAAGGCTGTGGGGTAACTGGAGCCTGTCCCAGTTGGCACAGGGCACAGGCTGCCCTGCGCGTGATGCCAGTCCATCAGCCAGCACATACACTTAAATATTCACACTAGAGGCAGTTTAAAGAGGCCAGTCTACCTCAACGTATGTCACCGGACTGAGAGCGGACCCAGAAAAAACCTCAACACCAAAGCATATGCTCACCTGACACAGAGAGCGGAGATGGGATCTGAACCGCTAATCGTGGGGGTGTGAGGCAAAACTGCTACTCACTGAGTCAGCATGCGCCACCTTACCAGATTAAAACAATTGTTTACTCATACATGGACATTTTTTTTATAGGTTTACTGGTTTGCCGACTCTTGTTGGCTGCATTTCCCGATAATGCCATAGTCTTAACACTACAGTTTCCTGTTTGACCGTGTGATAAATTTCCTGCTTTAATGACTAACTCCTTTACAACAGAAAAACAGCACAACTCATTTATTTACTGCAGAACGGCTTTCATGCTCTGATTACCCTGTCACCCATTAACAAGGATAGTATTTATCTGCGTTGGTGACGGATACAGACATTACAAATCGCCCGCTGCCACTCCAGGACCCCGTTTGTTACAATCATACTCGTTCCCCTCACTATTTTTGTCATTTTTGTTTTTGCAACCAAAATGGTACCTTGGAGATTACAGTCAGTGAGGTAAAGACTGTCACATGTCCTTCTGTCCTAAACAAATATAGAAGAATAAATATTTTGCCAAAGTTAAAATGAGCAGAACATTGGGAACATGCATTCAAATATTTGAATATCTATAGCAACACGTACTTTGAGGTGAAAAGGCATGAAAAGGTTTTTACTGAGGTCTTATCTAGCCATGGGGGGGGGGGAGGGGGGCTACGAGGCCATTAATTTCCATGACTGAACACAACTGTTGGTCAGAAGCTCCTTCACTGATTACGTCAGTGTTTCTTTTCAGTAAATTAAATCAGTTTAGTCGTACACCGTTACTACAATGTGACAACTTTACAGTTAACTGTTTGGCTTTTAGGCTTTGTCTTTTAAATGTGGTTTTAATGTATTTTATTCTTTTATTTAAATGTTTCCTTCTGTTTTTGTAAAGCACTTTGAATTGCCTTGCATCTGAATTGTGCGATATAAATTAACGTGCCTCGCCTTAATATTAGTATTCAATTCGAATCAACACCTGTGTTAACTGCGGCGATGGGTGAGGAGATTTATTCAAATTATTGCCTCCCCAAAGCAATTGGTGAGCACAGAGAAAGAAGCACTCTGTTGCTCTGATGAGCCAGGTGCGCCCCCCCCCCTCTGCTGAGTGAGTTTGAGGTAGAGAAGTTATACAAAATAAATCAAATCATTTGCAAATCAACATGAGGATGGACATTCGAAGGCATGAGGGGTCAACAGATGTAAAATAAGTTGAAGGCACAAAGCCTTTAAGGTCATTGTGAAAATACACAATGAAACGAAAATCATGGCATATAAATAGCAAGTTGCATTATTTAATAGTGGAAGACATCGATTTCCTACTATTCCCAGTTTAAAAGCGACCTGCTATATCCAAGATCGTGATTTTATTGCTACACCCACTATGCTCTCCCCTGTTCCGGATTGTCAACATTGACAGCAATAATGAAGGCATTAAGTTATTCGCAACATGTCAGATCCAGCGATGGGTCTTAATGGGATTGTCTCATGCCTCCTGTCTACCTGGGTGGGTATGGGTGAATGTTTTTTGTTGTTTTCTTAAAAACAACACATATCAAAATGTTTCCTTTATGCGTGCCATTGTCACAAAAATGGGATTGTTAATGATTTGGTTTACAACGAAAAAAGTGTTGCTAGGTTGTTAATGTTTTTCTAGCTTAGTCAGACATACGACAGAAGAGGACGTTTCAGGAGAATCAAATCTGGACCCCCTCCCCTCCAACTTCCTCATTTTTAAGTCAATAAATGAGTAAGTAACAAATAATTGAGTCAGTTCTGGTAAACTGGTCAAGTTACTCCTTAATTTAACGGGACTCTTAATTTAAGAAATAATGACTTCATATGCAGTAACGTAACTGCACAGATACCAATTTACCAGCAAGATAACTACAGCAAGAGAATTGTCATTGCAATGTGTTTTAACTACATAATTAATAATAATCTTTTACACTTTATATTTCATATTAGAAACACTAAGATAAGCATTATAGTCCTTTATTGCAGTAGTGCAGATCTGTAATAGATGTGGGTTTATGTCCTATGGAACTCAAATTTGTTCCATCAACTTGTCTGCGATAACTATAACGTTCGGATAGACGAGACACACTGCAGAATGGATGGGAATTTCCAGGAAAGGATCTAGTGTCTTTAACATTGGCCACATGATGCTGAATACCAAGAAAAACATTTTTACATATGCAGATAATTTTCCAAAAGCAAAAGTTCACAATAGCAGGTGTCATCAATGCTGTTCTGTCAGCTCAAAGTGTTCTGAACCATTGTTTTCCACACTCATTTAAAAAACAAATTAAAGAGAACAACAACATGCTATGTCAACACAGCAGTGCAACTCATAGCATATCTTACTGCTCCCTCCATGGAAATGGTCATATAAACAATGACCGCAAAGGCCCCAGTCCCACTGGGGGACCAGGCGGTGCTTCGCGGTCACATCCGCTTACGATGTATTGGAAAGGCAACACAACGCCACACGAAGCTGTCATCCCTCAGCGGACTGCGAGGACGGATGGGGAAATCCCCAGTGCCGGGGATGCCGCCTGTTCCCATGGTGATGGTGAGAACGGGACCCTTACCTGATGCCAGGTGACACTAAGGGCTGCCGAGACGGAGGGTGACGATGCGCGGAGCGAGGCCGTTTCCCGTGCCTCCCGTAGCCAGATCCAGCTCGGTGGGAGTGTCCGTCTCTCTGCTCCTTCTCCACACAGGTTACTTATAAACAAGGAGAGAGGGAGGAGGGATGGAGCTCGGGCAAACGAGTGGAGCGATTGGTCAGGAAGGCAGCGAGGCTCTCCCTGTGGGATAAGTCCCACCTGGAGAGAGAGGGGGGGGGGGGGGCACAGTTCTCTCCATAGTCACGGCAATGTTAAAGGAATACACAAACACAGATTAGGTATCTATATCTTTATGGGGACTCTCCATTCATTTCTATTGGCATAATCCTAATCCAACCTTATCCATTAATGAGCAAACAAAATTAAAGACTTTTGGCATTTTTAGATTTCTGATAGTAGTCACAGATTTCTACAAAATTGAGTTTCCTCCTTGTGGGGACCGAAAAAACAATGACAAAATAACTTTTTAATCACATTTCTTCCCCACAATGTAATTTAATATACAGACAGACAGACATATACATAATATAGACACAGACACATATACTCCCTGCAGGACACCCCATCCATAAATCCAAAGGTAATACCAGTGATTACCCTCAATACGTGTGGAAAGGCAAGGTGTTTCTATGAAAAGAATTTTTAATGCTTAATACACACTGACCTGAGAGTATAATACCAACCCACACAGCCTGCAAACCCTTATACACGCTCAGCCAGCCCTGATCCGGCAGCTCTTTGCAGTTGCTGGCTGTCTAAGGTATTTTACCAGTAAAATGAGCCACTCAAATGTGTCGCATCATACAAGGTGCGATATCCATGAAACCATCAAAGCCAAATCTACAAAAGCAGAAACAGGAAACAGTCCACGCAGATTAAAAGCTTATTTATTGTAAATGTCTCATTTTTAAGGATTCAGCCTTATGTACACAAAACTTTTAGTGGCATATTTACATATCTTACATGTAGTATTTCTATGTTACAGAGAAAAACAAGTTGGAAAAGGAAGATTCCATCATAGAACAAAATTAGTGCTTCCACGTCCATTTAAAAATACCATTTTCTCAGGTAACATGAAAAGCATCAAACCCACTTCCTGTACACAAATATACAAAAGAACTAATACGAAATCAGTGTTAGCCTACTTTCAGATGTATAAATTCCTATGCTTGTGGTAATTTCAGCAAAACCACAATCAACTAGTACGAAAATATGATGCAGGTCTGGCAAATCGAAGCTACCATGTATAACGCGACCCAGACAGTGCAGAGCGACTCGGGCTGGTCGGGTCACCTCAGGAACAAAGCGGACTCCGGCCATTCGCTCATACAGACGTTAATGTAGCTGCACCCCCCGCAGGGTGGGTGGCAACATAGACGATCAACTTTTAAGCACAAAAGTGGGAAAGCCAAAAAGAGGCAAAGAGTGTTTGTTGGAAAACACAAGCGATTAGAGCAGACTGGAGGCTAACAGAGAGGGGCAATCAGTGTGCTTGAGCGAAAAGCTTCCTGCAGCATGAAAGAGCAGAACACAACACACAACAGCAGGGCTCTACCTTTCATACCAGTCATACGGCTACCTTGTGCCCTATGTGATCTGCTTTCCTGCAATGACCCCCTCCCCATTCCTCAGTGTAACACCATCAGGCACTATGGAGCTCAAGCTGAACAGTCTGAAACCAAGCTGAAATTACTATAACACTTGCATCTGAGATGTGCTTTGATGCCACTTACATTTACATATATATTTTTCTTTCGACTGCATTCACCCACGATTTGCATCTACAAATGTAAAGCCCACACTGCCCACAACCCTGCGGATAAGAAAGTGATTGTTTTGTTTATGGGGAAAATTGATTTCCATGAACCCAGGGGAGGCCACGCCCACCACAAGCTGTTAAGGGGAGGAGCAAACAGAACCTCCCCATTGGCTCCGCCCCACGTTCTTTAAGCAGCGAACCCGCTTCAACACGGGCAAATACTTCAAAGACGACGTCAGAGGACGCCGATATGAGCACAGCAAGCGCACCTGCGTCCCGCCGGCAAAAGGAGAGGAAGGCGCTGGCGTTTGGTCAGAACCGGGGCTTTGATGGCACACACACATCAGCCTTCTTCTGCTGAAGGTCAATCAAAAACCCTGAACCTGTGCAGCCGTCTTGCACATCTGGCTGACCTATCTCCAGAAGGTCCAAGATCATCTGAGGCACAGTAGCCTCCCCCAATAAGTTCCCCCCCCTCCCTCCCACCCCCACACCCCCGTCATGCCGCCTGCTTGTCCGGGTGGCTCTTCAGCTTGTGGAACTTGACGCTGTCCAGCTTCTCGAACCTCTTGCCGCAGTGCTCGCAGGTGAAGTTGTACTGAGCCTCGGACGTGTGCTTCTTCATGTGCCAGTTAAGGGATGCCCGCTGCCGGCACTGATACCCGCAGATCTCACACCTGCCACGTGGGGAAAGCAATCAGGAGGATCAGCCACATGGACAGGAGAGAGAAAGATCACTGACAACATTATCATACCGATTATCATGACATCATACCGATTATCATGACATCATACCGATTATCATGACATCATACCGATTATCATGACATCATACCGATTATCATGACATCATACCAACCTATTGCCCTTTACATTTACATTCACATTCCATTAAGGACTGAGACCCAATACCCTACTGACATTTTATTTTCAGTTACGACTTCAAGAAGCCCATCTGAAAGCATCTTCACTCACTGCAGGGGTGTCTCTCCTGTGTGTGTCCTCCTGTGCACCTCCAGGTGATTCTTACGCTTAAATGACTTCCCGCAAGTCTCACAGATGAAGTCACGTACGCCTAGGCACAGGGAAAAAGGAATTAAACATTAAACATGAATAAAATGTCTACATTCAGAATCCAGGTTCGCTGCTGATCAAGGATGGGCTCAAATACCTTTATCTACTAGAACATGACGTCAAAACCGCACGGACAGGGCTGGGGTCAGATGAAGTATGACATCGTACCTGAGTGGATAATCATGTGTCGATGCAAGTGGTTTGAGAGGTAGAACTTCTTGCCACAACCAGGATGCGGGCAAACCTTAGTCCTGCCTTTCCTGTGAACTAGGTTCACGTGATTCTGCAAAAACAAAAGCATTCACACTCAGGTCAGACTCAAGTCACTGAGGGAAGGTAACAAAATCAGCAAATTTGGGCATAACTAAAAAAATTAATAAAAAAAGACACTTCATAAAGGACTATGTGGATAGTATTGCAACAGATACACAGTGAAAAATATATGGACACCCCTATTAATTAGAGTAATTGTGTAATTAAGACACACCCATTGCTGACACAGGTCTAATGAAGCACACGGTCATGCAGTTCCTAGCAGGACACATTAGCAGCAGAAGCGCCAGCTGTACAGAAGAGGTCAGTGACCTTCCACTTGGCACCATCTTATGACGTCACAATTTCCCACAAATCAATTCACCATATTTCTGCCCTGTTAGTTCTGCTTTGGTCAACCGCAAGTGACATGACCGGAGGTCAAAACGTCTGGGAGCGAGTTCAGTCGCAAAGTGGTCAACCACACCTCACAGAAAGGGATCTGATCAGCCGACATCTAGACCCAACCTAAAGGGCAGCAAATCCCACCAGCGATGTTTCGGTATCTAACGGAAAGCCTTCCTAGCGGAACAGAGGCTAATCTAGGGACAATAAACTGACAAACTTCCTATTAAAACCCTTGGTTTTGGAATGAGATGCTGGTCCACATACATAACATAACAGCCTCACCTGGAAGCTACTGATGGCCACGTAGACTTGGCTGCAGCCTTCATACGGGCAGTGGAACATCTTCAGCATCCCGTCTGCCTCTATCACCGGACCTCGACGATTCCTCCTCGACCTCAAAGGGCAAGAGTCTCACGTGAGACAGTCTGCTGTTTGAGCAGGTAACATGCACTGCCAGTGAGGTGGACCAGCATGTGAAAATGCCCCCCCCCCCCCGGCCAAAATAACATGAGAATTTAAGTGACTAAAGTCAAACTAACATGCTAAGGCAGTCACATGGCCTCTGGTGGTATGTGTACGTGCCACCCAACTACGTATTTAAGCTAATAAACAGCTTTTCCCAGACTAAGGCATGCAGGACAAACAGCAACAGGTTTACTGACATTTAGCTGGGGGATCCTTTCATTTAAAATTCTCTTTAACAGCTGGATATATGGCTTCAGTCAAGTCCTCCTTCCCCGCAACCCACTCATGATTCCCCGCTTCAATCCCCCCTCAATCACCCACGAGTTCCCTGCTTACTCCAAGGCTCCCGGCTGCCCTCCTCTGCTTCGCCTACCTGCTCAGGCTCCTCTGCAGCTCCTTGCCGCAGCTCACATTCGAGTCACGCGACTCTGCACTGGGCTGCAGGATCTGCTTCCCACTGAGCTCTGGTGGGAGACGTTGCATCATGAATTTCAAGAAGTGCAACATGCAGATAAAAAACGAAGGTTGGGCGTGGAAAAATAATTGAGCGTGTAATGTAAAGGCAAAGACTGATCATAATAGTATTTGTGGCATATAGCTGTCCGAACAGCAATATGGCCATGATTCATACCCCTGATGGCCTCTGCGTCAGGGACAGGTGACCTCTGGCCCACGTCTGATTGGCACACCTGGTTGTAGGCCACACCCTCAATAACCGTACAGGTAACCTCTTCCCCGACTCCGCCCCCCACGTTCAGCTGGATCCCCTCTGAAGCCAGGGCCTCGTAACCAGGGCCTGTGATAATGATCACCTTCGGAAAGAAAAAAGGAACCCAACATTGATCCATGGATATATTAGTTTCTGTCTCACTCCATCTGAAATCCGGCTGACCTACCTGTGATCCTTCCAAAGCTCCCTTCCCATTCGGTATCTGACAGCTGGCCACAACCGTCTGCAGTGTCTGGGGCTCATACAGCTCCCCCTGGCCTGAAACTTGCACGGTGGATGCTCCTGGAGGGGCGTGGGGCTGAGGGTGACTCCGGGCGACATTGTCCACCACCACCGGGTCGTCTTTGCGCAGCCGATCGATCACGGTGGCCGTTACCATGGCACACTCATAACCATTTGCCCCTGAACCCCTTTCAGCCCCTCGCAGGTCCTCCACTCCTATCCCTTCTCCCTCTCCCTCTCCAGCGTTCCCGTTGCCAGGCAAAGCTCCCAGACTCTCTCCTTCATTCTCCGACTCCTGCTCCTGTCCTTTCTCTCCCTCTATCACGACCTCCATCTCCCAGAGAGACTGCTCCTCTGTGGGCTGTCCGGCTGTGGTGCCCCTCTGAGAAACAGGGGATTCTGGGAGCTGGCCTAGAATGGCGGCCTTGTCCATGTCATTCAATGACACCTCAGCATCTGCCATCCTGGTCTCTTCCAGGTCCTCCCTGACATCTGCAGCACATTTCAAAAATAAGGTAGAGCAAAGGAATGAAACTATAACCTGTATAGTATATATAGTATATAATATAACTATATTATATATATATATATAATTTAGTATAGTATATAATATAACTATAACCTGAAGCAGTTTTGACCACAGAAAACACCAGTTGGCCAATTTAAAAAAATTGATGTAGTATGACTTAACAATACTAAATCCAACCTGTAACATGTACAGTCTCCATACCAAAATATTGCCTTGAAGAGTCTCTCCTCTTCCTCCTTGTCCTTGTCACAACGCCAGGTGTTGCCTCAGTACACGCTGCGCTGCCATCATTCCCGCCCTCACCTTCAGTCTCGGAATCGTCACTGCCTCCTGCTGGCTGTGAGAGGTGTTGCACAAAGGAGTGGCTATCAATACAGCACCAAACCAGTGAGGTGGGGAAGGCCAGTGCTGGCATTTCTGGGGCCTGCAGCTGTGGTTCGTGAGGACAGGACCGGGAGTGGTCCTGATACCAGCCCACCAGAGCTCTGAGGCTGGTCGCCTCAACCTTCTTGCCTGGGTTGGTCAACACAAAAAAGAAGACATCAGCTTAGAAAGCTGTGTATACACCATGGGGAGGATACTTAGAGCAGGGTTCTTCAACTCTGGACCTCGATTCCAAATCTAGACCGTGTTTTCAGTTCTCCCAGGTAGTTGTTTAATAATTACCGATTCTGATTGGTCAGAGGCTTCACACCTGACTGACAGGTAAAGGAAGGCTGGAAAACCAGCAGTGCTCGGACCTCGAGGACCGTGAGTTGAATAACCCTGACTTAGAGGAACAGGGCAAGCTGCTTCTCTTCTGCAAGTATATAATATAACTTGCCCTGCTGCTCATTATGCTAACAGGGCAACAACAACAAGTTTGCAAAGTGGCAACCTGCATTAGAACAAATGGCACACACTCACCTCTTTTCTGTTTGACACATAGCCCAGGGGCGGACTTCTTTCTGAGAGTTAACAGAAGAAAACAATGAAAATGCAAAGAGAAACACGTGCATTTAAAAACCACCCCAGCAGACAAGCGAGCCAGGCTGAAACGTAAACGAACGAAGCACCGCCCGCAGCCGTTTCTACCGAAATACACGCGCTGTAGCTTTCAACTTGTTACGCCGTATCAGGACGCAACACGGGCAACACTTAACTTAAGTCACAGCATGACAGCATCTATGATATTATAGGCTTTATCTCCTATATTGCATTCAAGATCAGAGATGAGACGCACCGTTACAGTTGCATAATGGCAGTTTGCTATCTTTATGTAACTTCATACCAAGGTATACACCGTCGTACGAGTAACCATGTCGTTTATAAATGGCAGTTTTACGGGACCCGTTCAGGCTAAGATCGCTTCTTGGTGAACTCACCCATAGCCGTACTTCTGCTGGTACACCTCCCCGTACGTGGCGTTCAGCAGGATTAAATACTCGGCGAGCCCCGCGTCACTCAAGCCGGTCCGCCGCCGCAGCTCGCTCCAAACCTTGTGGGATTCCCCCAGATAAACCCGCCTCACGTCGTACTTTTTCCGCGACTCCAGGCGCCTCTTGGCCCGGTCGGTATCCGTCAAACGGGGACGGCCCCTACACCGCCTGAACATCGCCGATATCTGGTCTCCTGCTTCCCTGCTGTTTAGAGAACTCCCCTCTTTCTCATAGCTGTCCGCCATCTTCACAACAGCTGTGTGCTGTTGTGATACGGAGCTTGACCTCAACCAACCGGAAGTAATACATCTTCTTCGGCGAGAACACTTGTAGTATTATTAACTACTTGAAAGGTATATAGCGCCACCTATCTGACTGGAGTACGAGCAAGGGGAAACGTAGGAACGTAGGTCATTTCTGATACTACTCTGAAATACAAAATATAAATATTAGTCATTTGAGGTACTACTGCAAATATTATTTTAAACGGGCCTGGAAATTCAAAGAGGTCATCAGGACAAAATAAAATGATAGTACACATGCCCCACTGTCTCCTGAACCTGTGTAAATGAAGCACACATCACGTCCACCAAGTTGTAGATACGTACAGTGACGTTTATGATGATATATGTAAAGCAAAATACATTTAGCGCAGCTCTGTCAAACTGCAGCCCTCGCAATCCGCGGGTATACTGGCTTTCGTTCCAGTCTACTTCTTTAACAGACCCTTGCTAAGCGGCTGAACGTAATATTTAAATAAGCCATACACGTCAACAAGTAGACTTGTTATATTTTTTTAATCGTTGACTTTTATTTAAACAAAGATGATTGTCTTTAGGCAAAACATCTACTTAATATCCTCGCTACCCTGCCTGCACTGGTGAAGATGGACAGGTATTTGGATGGCCGATTTTGTTTAATTCACATCCTTCGCCAGTAGGGGTCCTTACCCCACTCATTTTGCCAATCGCCTGTTCTTATTCGTCCTTACCACCAGACGGCGCAGCATGACTCTGACGAACAGCACATTACATCACAGCCTCGCGATCAATCCACGTGGTTTGTCGGATGGCGCGCTGTTTGTTTGGCAATTCGACACAGACTATATGAAAGCTGCATTTTTTCATGATTCATTTCAAATATTGCTATTAATATAAGTAAAATTCTAGTATACAGGTAAAAGTTTTAAATTTATAGATCTGTTGCGTTGCAATGGCCGATATATTAACAGTTGTTCTAAAGCAGTATAGCAGAGAGTCAAAGGATTTAAAACTTCCACCGCTGTCAGATTATACATCTTGCGTGGTCGTGGGAGAGTGTGACAACCTCAAAAAGTCGTTGTTGTTCCTGACTGCACTTACTGCAGCCTCCGAGCTTGGGCTGAAGGTGCTCTTTCTTAGCCCGGCTCCGATCGAGAGTCTCCCGGGTGTGCTGCAGGGCGCACTGGCCAGGCTGAGCCCGGACGATCTGAAGGTATGAGTTATGTCCTCTTTTCAGCCTCGCCTTTCGAATCCCGTTTATATCAAGGACAGTGTTTTGCATGATGGCATATTGCATAATTCAGGCGTTGAACGCTGAGGTATCGGCAACTAATGCAGTCTTCAAATGGATGGATTACCTGAATTTCTTCAGTAATTACGTTCTATGCACATGCAGAAGAACTGAATAGGCAAGTCCTGCAGATGGTTTTTGATGAAAGAATTCCAACCTTTGCCCTGGCTAAATCAAGTGAATGCACGATCCATTGCATATAAATCAATATTACAGTATAAACAAGGCTGTTGATTTATTTTTTCTAAATAATGTCTCAATTTAAAACTCTTAGAAAAATGGGGTAATGCTATGTTAATGAAAAACTATATAAATGCCGTAGAAGTCCATTGCCTTTAAATGTGGATCACATGGTAAGACTGATTTTCTTATCTGGCAGAAAGTAAAATTCAAGTACCCCCGGTGCTCGGCGGAGCTTCGCTGTGAGATAGCGGCCCTGCACGAGCTGGACGCGCCGCCGCCGCCGTCCTTAATCATCGTGGACGGGATGGATCTGTATGTGGGGGCAGAGGGAGGACTGCTGGCCGCGCAGGCGCAGTCCGCTCACATCTCAGCCCTGCTGCTCGACACCGCTGCCTTCCTGACACAGAGGGACACTGCGGCCCCCTGTTATGTTATAACGTCCTTCCGACCGGAGCAGGAGGGCCGGACTGCAGGGGAGTCACCGGCTCCAGACCCCGTCCTCGCCGTCATAGACCGCTATTTCCCTGTGCGCTGTACTTTCACAAAGGGAGGTACTTCCTCCAGTTTGGGGTGTACGACCGAGATAAAGGAGACGTTGCAAGTTTATTTTTCTGGCGTGGGGCTCAACGCCACTCCCCCTCTTACTAAGACTGACGAAACACATTTTGGACAACAGTGGAGTTTGTCAGTCTCACAAGATGGCGCGATGGAGTTTTCTGTCCTCAGAGTGAAAGACTGATCCATTATTATTTTATACAAATGGTCAGAAATGGTTCATGCATTAATTTACAGTGGCTGCCCGAGGAACAACCAAAGCACAGGAGACTAGTTCATTGCTGCAGTATAGTTCTTCCATTTAGTTTGGAAATCCTTATTCCAACAAGCCTTTTAGGGAAAGAAGAAATGCCACAGTTTTCTTGTAAATCATATAAGAAAATAAAGTCTTGCATTATATAAGAAAATATATTTTCGTAGTAAAAAATGGTTATAAATTGCTTTTTGTTATTTACAATAGATTCTCAAATTTTATAGAAACAGTTGTATGACAAGTAAAGTGTGCTGTAAACGGGTATTTAAGGAATGTTTGATTAATTCACTGTACAGAAATGATCAATTAGGGAAAGATGCTTCTGTAAAATATACAAAATCATAGATGGCTGCCGTGTCAGAACATGAAGCAATTTCACACGCAGGTGCCATTTTTCGAGCCTAGCCAAAACTTTCAAACATTTAATTTCATCCTGTAAGAAAATTCTTTTCCCAGTTTTAAATGGATATGAAATCCAATGACAGGGGCTTAGTGTTTTAAAATGGCTCCAGGCTGCAACAGAGAATGATTTCTAATGATTAATTAGCTCTATTATCCAGTTTAAGTGTTTAAAAACATTATTTAAATTCTGTATACATTAACATCCATCTTCTAACCAGGTATCCTGGTCAGGGTTGCAAGATGGCCTGGAGGCTGTTCCAGGCATCGCAGGCTGGAGGGCTGGGGTACATCCTGGGCAAGATGTATATATTAACACAAACAGTAATTACTTCCCAAGATCGGCTGCCTTACATACAATGTTGGGAGAGAACCAGTTATGAGCTATATGTGCATAAAAAGCCCATGTGACGCTAATTTAAAAACGGAAGCTTGCCATTCTAGGCTGGAGGAAAACTGTTTTCACAGTCAGCAGGCGGAGTAGATTGGACATCCAGAGAGAGGCTCGTTTGGCTTTGGGATTTCGTTCTTGTAGTCATTATTATAGAAGCCTCCTATGCCACCAGCTGCAGTTCTGATGGAATTCATGGGGCTGTAGTCCACGGAGACGCCCGAATCGGCAAGAGTCAGGGAGGCGTAACTGATGCCCTTAGGCGGCCAGATGCTGTGAGGGTACTCAAGGCTGGACTCGGAGGAGAGTCTGCCTGATCTGGAGCTCTGCGGGAGGGAGCCCAGATCCGAATGGGATGCCGAGATTTCTGCCGACGTGAAAAGAACTCGCAAAGGTGCAGATTCCTCAGATATATCATCCATCGGTGTCTCTTGGGGTTTGGGCTGGAAGCTGTGGTCGAGGGTCACGTAGGAGTCCTTAGATTCCAGTTGTGTGGACCAGGAAAATGGGGAGGGTCCCTGCTGCAGGGTTTGGAAGTGCTTCATCAGCCAGTGTGCAGGCGGGGTCGGCTGCCACCCCTCCTGCCCAGACTCTGCGTTCTGCAGGTCCTCCTCGTTTTCTTTGCATCCTGACTCTGGCAGATTACAGGCCCTGGATTCCACCGAGCGAGGAGGGACCGGGGTAGCCTCTGATAGCACCTCCAGCATAGCTGGGAGCTCCTCAAAGAAGAAGAAGGCAGGACTCGGCCGTAAGCCCCCACCGCTGTGGCCCAACCACTCCTGCGGACACAGGAAGGCGTTTCTCATTCCACGTCGGAGCAGATCTCCCCTGATGGCTAACATGCCTTATAAATCCACTCCCAGAAAGTACAAATCCAGACCAAGGTTTTGTTTCAACCAACCAGCTGAGGACTCTGTGAATGTTACTCTTCATACTCAACTGGCCGGTTGAAACAAAACCTTGGCCTGGATTTGTACTTTCTGGATCTGAACTTTGCACCTCTGCCAGCCACAAAGTGCTCAAGGAGACTGTATATTAGTACTCCGCCCTCAGTAATCATGAGGAGTGCAGGCTTCTTACCTGGAAGTCACCTCCGTAGACGGTGAAGAGCCCTGGGAATTTGTTTTCCGGACTGGGAATAAGAGGCCACATCTTCTTCTGCAGAGAACTGACAAAGATTTTCATACATTTAATGTAAAGGCAAAAGAAAAGCTAATTTTCCCTCACTGAATGAGTGCTGGACACTTCAAATAAATAAATATCAAGAATTTGAAAATAACATTGGGTAACACTTTACATTAACTGAACCCTCATAATGCATTCATAATGCATTCATAGACCATTCAGTGCACCTTCATAATGCATTCATAGACCATTCAGTGCACCTTCATAATGCATTCATATAACATTTACAAGCAGCATGCAAGTATACCACAACCTCCT